GTGTGTGTGTGTGTGTGTGTGTGTGTGTGTGTGTGCGTTTGCTGAAAAGAGTTCGAAGATTGAGCACCTGATTTTTTGGAGCAGAACCGAGCACTGTCTGCATACCATTCCGAGCTAGAGAACGATATCCCTCAAATTGTTCGTCAGAATAATATCCGTCACGCTCGCCATGACGATCTTCAACAAGGACACATCGGTCGCATTGGTAAAGCTAGGGTAGATCTCCTTGGTCGGGCTTCGATTCAACCTGACAAACCTCGTCTTAAAGTAGCTTCTAGCCGCGTTGAAATCCTGATCGTCCGCGTTGTAGTCTGGGAAGTAATGCTTGATGCTGGAATAGGCGAGTTTCTGACGAAAGACGTCGACCTTGTTGAGGAAGAGGATCATGGAAGTGCGAACGAACCATTTCGAATTGCAGATGGAGTCGAAGAGCATGAGCGCCTCCTGCATCTGGTTCGAGTCCTTGTCCTCGACCAGACACGAGTCGTAGCCGGAGAGCGCGACGCAGAAGAGCACGGCGGTGACGTTTTCGAAGCAGTGGATCCACTTTTTGCGTTCGGACCTCTGACCGCCGACGTCAAAGATGCGGTAGAAGCGGTCTTGGAGCGGGAAGGTGGTCTCGATGATGCCGGTGGTCTTGTTGCGACACCGCAAGATGTCGTCGTCGGACGGGGTGTAGGTGGGGGCGAAGAGGCGATCCAAGTCGGCGTAGTAGTACGACATGTTGTCCGGCACAGCGGCTTCGTTGCCTCTGCGATAGACCGACTGAACCCCTTGGTCGAGCCAGAGCCGCTTGAGCGCATCCAGATACTCGATGGGGAAAGGCTCGTCTTCGGAAACGTCCGGATACTTGACAAACAGGCCGAGATGGTCGATATTGGACTCGTCTTTGAAGTCGACGGACCACTCTTCCATGACGTCGAGGATGGTCTTCATGCCCTGGACGAGGTTGAGGAAGACGAGCCTTCGGAAGTTTTCGCGCTCCTCGGGGGTGAAGGGGATGTGGTGGATGATGCGCATCGATTTGAGGATGGTGGATTTGCCGCTCTCTCCTGCGCCGAGGAGCAGCAGCTTGACTTCCCTGGAGAGCGTCTTTTCATTTTCTCGGATCTGTCGATCGAGCGCTTTTGATTTCTTGTATTCGGGCGTGGCCTGCGTCTGCTCAGCGGACATGCAAGCGCCCATCGTTTACGAGTCTGCGCAGCACGGATGCGTTCCAGTGCCGATAGTAGGGTGGGATTGGTGGTTCTTGGAAGCGCGCGACAGGCCAAGCGTGAGCGATGCTGGGCCGTCTGTCCACAGCACAGCCCTACGGGTCAGCTCCGTTACTGGACTTGGAGACGCTCGGATGTGCCGCTACAAGTCTGCTGAGCAAGTCGGAAGAAAGCCGAGAAGATCGAGGGCGTGCTTCAGCCGAAGTATAGAGAGGATCGAAGATGGCAGATGCAGCAGATTGACCTCGACGGGTATCGAAGTTTTTGAATGGTTGGGTCGAACCGGGTATCGAAAGAGTTGTCAATGCAAAGGAAAAGGTGAGATGAGAGGAGGATACAGTAGCCGGAGGCAATTGGCAACACAAAGAGAAACGCTTTGAAGGTGTCGTCAATCCTGATGGACCCGTGATTTTATCGAGCCTAGCCAACGGAATCGGCTGCGGGGAATCCGAACCGCCTCGACGTGCGTGCGTGCGTACACACACAACAGGCGCTTCAGATTCATCCATGGTATTTTTTCATAAAATATTAATAAGATGAGATGTAGAACGATGTAAAGTGGCGCAGGTCTTTCATGGCTGTCCTCTTGGATGAACGGCATGAGAGCCTTGCAAGGATGGGTCAAGCAGATGAGCTTCGGAGAGGTCCCGACGACCTGCTCAGTTTGAAGTCCGTCCAAAGATCGAAAGCGGCCCAACGTGGCAAACCTCTTCCCGGCTGGCCTGGTTTTGACAGCTCGCAGATCAGGTTGGATTTTGGCCTCAGCATACTGCAAATTTTTCGAGCCTACTTATGAAGACCGACAGAACCGGGTTTGGGTCCGAGACGTGGCTCTCTCAGCTTCCCTTTCATTGAACCTTTACGACGACCGTGGGATTGGCCAGCGTGGCACTCAACGCCACGAGTGGGAGGAGTGAGGTGAAATATCGTTTCGTTTGGCAGCCTGTGGCGTGGGCAGCGTGTCAAGTGGCTTTCCTGCAAAAGCGTTTGTGCGAGGCAAGCTCGTATGCACGCAGAACACGACAATCCCTTTTGTGGGTTGACGCTACATGGGCGGTTAAATTGTGATTGGTACGGAGCCACTTCGGAGTTTCAAACCTGAGTCGTGGCGGATCTTGTGTCGGGGGTTCAAATAAATAAAAAAGGGATTTAGCTGTTTTGGGACCTTGCTTCGTCTGAAAAGCTGCACCTCTGTTGGCAACGATTCCGGAAACGGCGACCAGGAGCAGCAAAGGAGCTTGCATTGGTACCCCGCGAGAAGGATGCTCGTGTGAGGTTTTATCGAACGATGTAGAGCATCCTACTCGAGAACGATTCCGGCAATCGAAGCGTGCACTTCGACGGTCCGAGCGGCAAATGCATTATTGGCGACAACAAGCAAAGTGCAAGGAAAGCATCGCGCAAACAAAACCTTGTTCGGAGCAAGGTGTAGGTTGCTGGTACGGTAGAACAATTGCGCTTCTGCAGATTCTCTCATGCGTCCCTGCTTCTCGAAAACCCTTGAAAGAGGCCGCCGTTCAGACGACCTTAACTCAAAACCCCAAGGTGAGGGACATGCAAAGACAATGGATACTGACGAAGTGCAATGCGCCCGTCCGCTTTCAACCTGTCCGCACCATCGCTGGGCGTCGTCAATGGCTTGCGCAACAATCGAGCAGGCTAGCTCCATCATCCGCGTGCCTCCCTTTGTCTGTTATTCTCCTATCGAGCGTGTGAAAACAGACCTGAGGCGTGCGTGTCCGGCGAGTTTCCTGTTATTCACTGTGAAGCATGCCATGCCCTGTCGATCACAAGACAATCACGGCACCGTTGTTTGTTTCTAGCAGAGCAGTGGCCATGTGCAACAACAAAGGTGTAGCCCGTGCGGCACAACGCAGCTTCTCCTTCTTCGACCGCGGTTGCTTCCATGGTCCAAGCGGGCGATTGACCTCCCACATCCTTGAAGCTCGGTCAAGATAGACGAGGAACCACGCAACCGGATCGCCCTCCGCCTCCGCCTAGTCAATCGCATTTATCGTGGTTGTCAATGTGTTGCCTTGCTGCGAGAGGTAGCGAGCAGGCTTCCATGCATACTGTTCTATTCTTCGTCAACGCTCGCCGTGTTAGTACCGTTTTAGCTCCTCCATCTAAGCCCGGCGATGTTGGTTACCGGTGTCACTCATGTCCAAAGGCGAAGAGCCCAAAGTCCGGAGCTGTCAAACAGTGTATTGCAGTGTGTCTGCCGAACACAAAACGCATCCTTCCAATCTTTTTTCTTTGGAATTGCTGGGTACTTGTCGCGGTCTGACAAATCAACAGAAGCAGAAATGCTTTCTCAGCCTGTTGTCTCTTTGGCGTTCGGTGCCGACCGAGACGCACCTTTTCGAAAATTTGGCACTTCTTCCGACGTGCTGACCATCATTCCTTCTCTCTCAATCCCTTTCCTCGACATCGTCCAACCAACACATCACCGTGTCGTCCTCCTCACGAATAGCTCGCACATTCGACGCCCGACCAACATGTCATCGTCAGCAAGGGCCATGCTCGGCCGTCTCACTCAGTCGTTGCGTGCATCGCCTTCTGCAGCCGGTACATCAGCTCGGTCCTTCTCCTCCTCCTCTCGTGCCTCGCAAGCACCCGTCCCTCTACCCACAAAGCCTGCCTCGCAATCACAGCCTTCCCTCGCACCGACACCGAAAACACAGCTCGAACAGATCAGGCAGTATCCCGCCCATCCGCTGCTCCAGTTCTTCCGCACACGTCCCTACGAGATCAGCGAAAAGGCGCTAGGTGGCACCGCAGCGTACGAGGAGGAGAGCAAGGATTCCCTCTCCGCCTCCAAGTTCTACGTCCGACTACCGCATGCAGTTTCGCAGGCGGATCTCGGTAGGTCCGCCGACAGCAGATCGTGGTTGGCCAGCGAACTGCGTCTCAAGAGTTCCAAGGATCTGCACACCCTGTGGTACGTGCTGCTGATGGAGAGGAACCGTCTTGCAACGGCGTGGGAGGAACTCAACCGAGTGGGTGCAAGACAGGCCGCGAGAATGTGGTCGCAGAACTTGGGTAGGAAGAATCACAGGGTGCGCAAAAGCATGGCACGCATCAAGTTTGTGCTTAACGAACGCAGGTTGGCCCTCATCGAGGCTCAGAAGCAGGTGAGAGAAGCGGTACCTGCTACTGAAGCAGGTCTTACTGGAAGCCTTTTCGAGGATGGAGATGTGCAAGAGTCGGTTGAGTCAGCGAAGAGTGCAAGCTCTTCGATCCAGCCACAAGCATGATCCCACCTCAATTCCCCCTCCTTCATTAACGGTCTACCTTTTGCCCAAGTCGGCAAGTCTCATTTTGCATGTACTAGTATTCCCTCCCCATCAATTCCATCTTGCCAGACGTTTCTTCGGTGACGACTCTTGCGAGCGTGTCCGTGTGAGCCTGCTTTGAACGTCTACAATGTCTGCAACGCTCAAGTCTATGCGAGGTTGTCACTTTCCCAACTCTCCGCTTCGGACACCCGACCTTCACTATCTCAGCTTCACATCGCCGTGTTTTCTCGTCTCAACCTCGGGAGCCGCACAGTTCTGCTTTTACGGAAACAGCATTACACGTTCGGGTTTTGGGAGAAATGACACCGCCTTCTTTCGATATTTCGCGGGGGTGGGGTTATTTTAGGGGGTAACAAGAGAAGGAAACTAGCAAACAAAGTTGTTTCATAAACATGAATGCTAAACGTCGCTCTCTCGAAGAAAAGAGGTGTTGATGGTACAATTGCGTTTGGGATGTAGTGTTAGTAGAGAGAGAATGCCGATGCAGTTGAGGTGTGGGTTTTTGGGAAGGACTGCCGAGTGGATGCAAATGAGCATGCGACGCTGGACATGTTGCCGACTTCGAAAGAAGGGGCGAAAAGCTCGTCGACAAAATGGCGTTGTACGCAGGATGCTGATGCGGCGGCGCACTCGGATGCGAGTCCAAAGAAGAATTGCAGGCAAGACTGCTGCAGGACGAGATAACAGAACTGAGGACGAAGGAAAAACAAGAAGGATACTGGAGAGGGCATCATCGCCAAAAGGCAGTTTACTTCTTCTTGGCAGCCTCGCCGGCCTTGGTCTTCTTGACACCACGGACCTTCTTGGCACGGTTCTTGCGCTCCTTGCGCAGCTTTCGCGAAGCCTTCTCGGTCTTCTCGGCGAGGCCGACGCGCACGAGGCGGTGCTTGGGCTCGAACTTCATCGAGTCGCGCGAGTCGTAGATGAGGGCAAAGCCGGTGGAGCGTCCACCACCAAAGGCGGTTCGCATGCCAAAGACGATGCACTGCTCCTTGGGCGTCTTGTACATCTCCGAGAGCTTCTCCGAGAGCTCAGCCTTGGAGACGTTGGGGCGGGCAGGGTGGATGACATCGAGAACCATCTGCTTCCTCTGGAGCAGACGGTTGGTGATGAACTTGCGAGTTCGGAGGGTGACGGGAGAAGTGGAGTCCTGTCAGGGATGGAATCGTGCGTCGCAATTGAGTGCGCAAGGCGGGTAGTATAGTCAGTAAATCTGCAGCGATGCAAGAGGCGGCGGAACCAGAGGGACAAGCCTGAGCCAGATCATGGATGAGTGTCGAGAGCCGCTGCTGCTGCCACTGCTATTGCTGTTATAAAGAGTGCCGAGGCCTGTTATGTGTCGATGTCGTCGACAAGCTGGATAGCAACTGGTCGGTTCTCTTGAATGCTGCCAGGCTGAACAGAGCATTGGAAGTGTTGTATCGATCGGATTGTGTGGTTTCCGTGTGGTGGTGTGGCTGCAAGACAGGTGACGTCGCGGATGCCACAACAACCTCGACTGATGCAACAAAAGTCGACAATGTTGGACGTCTCAATGCGATCTACGTCAGATGCGTCCGCGTCAGATAGCATCCCATGCTTCGTAAATGTGTTCGAGTGTCGACTGTACTGAATAGAAGTATGCTGCCAGTACCTTGTCGTCAGGCAACGCATCAACTAGCGAGATCTTCTGAGCTTGTCCACCGAAGAACGCCTACAGAACAGCGTTGCATGTTGCCAAAGAAGAGCTTTTCATCTAGTCCGTCTGTCTGCCAAAGTTGCTGCCAAGGAGTCCATCCATCTCCGAGTTGTAGCAGTGCATTTCCATTCCAAAGAGTCCAGCGTCTACAACCGATTGGTGAGTGTCTTCCGCGGTGTGCTTTCTATGATCTGGTGTGCGATATGCGTTCGCCATATCATGGGGACAATATGGGTGCTATGCTGGGCGAACGATGGTCTTCTGAGTCGAACGATTTGGTGTGCAGTTGTCGTAGGTGTGTGTAGGTGCATGATACGATTCTGCAACGGCAGTGGCGATGACCGGTGTCGTATGATCTGGCTGTCGATGTCGGCTCGTACCAAAGGCAGAAGGTACACTTACCATCTTGACGAATTCTTGGTGGTAGCGAACAAGAGCAAAGGATGGTGACGAGCTAAACCTAGCAGCAAACCGCACCTTGCGCAGCCAACACACTCGACTAGGGCTGCTCACTCTGTCTGTGCCTCTCTCTCCCTCTCTCTCTCTTGACTGGCCTGCTTCTCAGATTCCACCGTTCGCTCGTCCGCGGTTGCTGATCCTCAACACTCTCTCGAGTCCTCACTGGCCTCGCGCCATTCCGCCTTTCTTCCAACCTTCAGCCTCGATGCGTGTGTGTCGCCGTTCTGCGGTGGTGAGCCACGAATTTTGTTCTGGCTTGGAATTAGCCAGTGTTTGGAGAATGCTCGTCAGTCGCAAAATTGAATTTAAAATTTTGTATACAGCTAGTTGGGTTGTTCCGAAACCTTGGTTTCTAGAGCGAATTTGGACGAGATCGTGGGAATTTTTCGCCTCGAATAGAGATGCGACTACAATTCACACCTCGTGTTCGCACAAGAGACAGGCAACGGCGCTTCAGATCAATCGGGGTGAGCTTTTACGATCTGGACCACTGCATCCGCGATCGGTCCCTTGCTCGGGAGTCGGTCGAGCATTCCGTTTGCGTCGACGGACATGCACAACAAGCACGACTGGACCCTGACAACAGTTCCTCGACTGCCATTACTCAACAGGACATGATTGCCAACCCTTGAAGGATGAGCGGAGCCCTCGCTGGCCTGGCTCAGTACATCGATTCAGACTCGGACGCGGACGATGCGTCGAATGCCGCAGCACACCTGCCCACCACCACCACTAGCTCGAAAGCCAATGTGGATGCATCCGACCCCGACAGGCTGAAGCTGACCACTGCTCCGACTCGACCAAAGAGGAAGCTGCCTCCGCTCGAGCAAGATTCAGAGCAGCAGCAATATGACGGTGACGCACCATCGGATCGCAATTCGGCGAGGATCGTTCGCGGAGAGTGGCTCTGCTTCTGCTATGTCGAGGTCCTCATCGATGCATCGTTGAACAGCTGCATCGATCGCTGCCACCGACATTTGCAAGAGCAGCTTGGATCAGACTATTCCGTGATCGATCTACGAAATAGCGACGGCTCCATACCTGATGATGCAGAAGAATTTGCTAAGCTCTCAATGGCCAGGACTTCGTCTCCGCCCTCGACGACGCAGCGACTGCACGTCTCCCTGACTCGTCCGTTCACTGTTCGAAGCTACGAACGCGACGACTACATCAAAACCGCCCTCGCACAAGCGCACAAGCTGCGCACCACCATCGCAAGCTTCCCCTTCACCTTCTCCCGCATCGCTCACCTTTCCAACGACGACGCTTCGCGGCACTATCTCGTTCTCGAGGTTTCATTTGGACGTGAAAAATTCCACCAGCTTTCGATGGGTCTGAGCACCGAGCTGCGCAGAGCGTTTCGTGCCAAATCCTACTACAACCAGGCCCGCTTCCACGTCAGCACTTCCTGCGTCCCATCTGTTTCGACAGATTCCAAGGAGAAGGAAGAGGAGTCGCTGGAAGACCGATTCGGCACCATCGCGGATGAAATCGAAGCAAAGTGCGGTGACCAACTGCGAAAATGTCCACCACTCTGGGCCAGTCGCATCGGCATACAGGTCGGAAACAGAGTCACCTATGTAGACCTTTGACTCGACGGGCAATATACCCCCTTTAAGCTTGCCGAGAGCCATCTGGACGAACGTGACCTTGATGTGTTTCCACGATCCAGTGACCCAACGCCTGAAAAGGCTTACCTCGACATTGCAAGTTTCTTCTCTGCCTGAAAAAGACATGATATATTTACAACTTCATCTCGACATCCCATGAAAGTGTCCGAATTAGTTTAGTGGCTATGACGGCGCCTTGTCAATTCAGTTTGACGCTTCTCCGCGCAGAAATCGGCGCAGACCCGGGTTCAATTCCCGGATTCGGAGATTTACCTACCTTTCTTTTTTTCCCCTCATTTTTTGGTACCACACTTTTTTCAAGCTCAGATTTTGGACAGGTGCTTTTTTGTCTCCTTTGTCTCCCTTCCCGAGCCTCGTCAAGTCTTTGTTAGCTAGTCAAGTCACACTTGGCGAATTCAGGCGGCACAATGGAATGCAAAAAATGATGGTATTGGCAAACATCGATGGTATGTGGTGCATCAAACGACGCGATTATGCAAGAACAAAGAAGAAGCAATGAAGGCGCGAGAGCAGCACCAAAAACACACGTCGGATCCAGCATCAGCTTTGCGGCATGGGGCCCGTGGACCGCGTCTGCGCATACAACATCTGCGTCGCCTTTTCGTCGATGGCGGGAACATCGATAGTCGCGGCGATCGACGAAAACGGCGGCAGCGTGGTGGCGTGACCGCCATTCCCGGCAGCAACGTGGAAGATGGGATTGATGTGGTGCTGATGCACATGTTGCTGCGCGTGCACCGAGTTGGGACTGAACGCCGCTGGTACAGAAACATCGCCTCCCGTCTCGTTCCGCGGCGGGCCGCCCGGTTGTGCCAGGCTCTGGTGCAGCGGTGGCAGCTGATAGTTGAGATGGTAGCCCGTCGACGGCGTCACGGGTCCCCCATGCGAGTAGGGATGGAAGCGCGGGATGCCGCTGGCATGGTGCAATGGCGAGGCGGATCCCTGACGGTGCGCAGACGTCGACGAAGCACGGCTGTTGGTGCGACTCTGGCGACTGACCGACTGGCGCGCCCCGACAACGTGGGCAGGACCCGGCGATACGTTGCCAGGTGTACGCGCACGTGCCTCTGCAGCCGTCATCCTCTCCATGTTGGTGATGAGCTGGTGGTCGAGCGAGCTGATGGAGCGCGTCTCTGCCGAGCTGCGATGCGACTCGAGAGATGGAGCGAAGCGTCGTTGGTCGACCAAGGACGGCGCCGAGGCGAGCGAAGAGGACGAGCTGGCTCGTTGTACGTAGTGCCCCTGCGGCGCCTGCTGGCCGGTACCCGGCCCAGGATCGCTGTCGCCGGTCTGGTAGGACTGCATCGAAACCCTGCGCGGATCGACGGCGTCCTCGAAGCTCGACATGGAGTGGTCATCGTCATGCTCTCGCCTTCTGGCCTTGGTGGATCGACTGTATCTGCCTGCGCCGGCGCCGACGCCTCGCCAAGCCATGCTGCTGGCAATGGCTGGATTCGGATTCATGCCGTAATCGGGGCTGAGACCGTGAATGGGCTGCTGGTGCGGCGAACGAGGAAACTCTCCAGAGGCAAAGCCGGGCATGGATGGTGACAGCTGAGAGCCGGGGTTGGCCGGCTGCTTGCCGCGCGCTTTTTCGCTCGGACTCGAACGGTACTGCTCTTCTGCCTGCAGGCTGGCGCCAGAAAGCCATTCGACGGGATCCTTGCTGTTGGAAGAAGACAGTAGCTGGTTGCGTTTCTGCATGACCGCCCGTGCTCGATCCCGCGCGGCCTTCTGTTGTGCCTCTCGTTTCGCCTTCTCGGCCTCGCGCGCCGCCTTCTCGGCCTCTTTCTTGGCCTTTTTGGAATCGATGGGCTTGGCTGGTGCGCCATTTGGCGATGGTCCCGATATAGCGTTGGAATGTTCGGCAGCGATGCGCTGCGCGGGCGTCGGCTCGAGCGATAACTTGGATCCCTGCATGGGTCCATTGGGAAGCGCGTTGGAAGATGCCATGCCGTTGGGAGGCATACGCCCGGTAACGGGACTGCCAAGAGCGTATTGGTGAGCGCCGTTGTTAGTGGCTCCACCACTGCCGCTTCCAGCAAGCGTGCCGCTACTGCCGCTGCTTGCGAATTTGGAGGAAATGTTGAGACCCCAGCCTTTGCTCCTACGCCTCTCCTTATCGCGTGAGCCGATGGTTTCGCTGCTGGCGTTGGCGTCCTTTTGCTGCGATAGCTCACCAGAGGATGCAGCGGCCGGCATCTGGCCCTGCATGGCGGAAGCGGGATACGCGCCGGCAAAGGGCACGAATGCCGCGGCTCTGAGCGCAGCCTCGCGATCATAGGCAGCAGCAGCAGCAGCGTGTGCATCGTAGGCCCCATTTTGAGATGAACTCGCGTCCTGGCGATACTGTCGTTGGTACTGCTCGTATTGATGAGCTTGAAGTGCCTGCGTATGACGAGGGTCGCCGTGCTTGAGCGTCGAGTCAGTCACTTGGCCATTGGAGAGCACCATGGTTGCATCCGAGGACGGCGCATGCGAAGCAGAACCATCATGGTGAGTGGAAGCGCTGGCTGCGTAGAGTGACGCCGAGTCCGGGAAGGCAGGATAGCCAGACACAGAGACGACTCTGCTGCTCGTGGCGACGTGTGGTGCCCACGGCACCTCGGCGGCATCCTCCTGCATTGGCGATGCGGGTGTCGCTCCTCCGGTGGTGTTTGCGCCAGATGCACCGACAGGATTTGGCGAAGGCTGGCCGCCGTTGACCTTGACAATGGGCGAACCGTCGGGGTGACGTAGCATGGCCAACGGTTTGAGATTCGACTCTGCGGCTCCAAAGGGTGGACGGTCCACGTTGGACGAGTGCGGCGTGGAATGCGAAGGTGGAAGCTGACGTGGTGTAGCCTGCTGAGGACGCAAGGGTGCCGTGGCGCTGACAAGAGGTTTGGCTTGCGGTGGACGCAATCGAGGAGCATCGAGGCGCATGTAGTCGTGCTGGATACAGTCTTTGCTGGTGAGCCTGGCTTTTGGTTCGTAGCGGAGGAGATCCTCGATGCAATCGATGAGGTTGTGCGGGACACGATCCGAAAACAGCCTGGCGAACTTGACAGGTTTGCGGATGGGAAACGTGAAGCCGACAGCCCTTGCCATGCGAATGCCTCTGTCCCACGGACCGCCGCCGTTGCGCCTGTTGCGCGAGTCGTGGCCGTAGCTGTGGCTTGGGTCGCCGAGCACGTCGCAGATCTGCAGAACCTGATCAACCTCGCTATGGCCGGGAAAGAGGGGCTTGAGGTTGACGAGCTCGGCGAGAATGGTGCCGAGGGCCCACATGTCGACTGGGTTGCTGTAGTCGCGCGAGCGGAGGAGCACCTCGGGCGCACGATACCAGCGTGTGGAGACGTATTCGGTGTAGGGGGGTTTGCTGAGCGTTTCGCGAGCGAGACCAAAGTCGGCAAGCTTGACAATGACGAGGACGTCCCTCTCTGGAGCCATACCAGGCTGGAGGTTGGGATAGTCGGCGAGACCTGTGGTTGTGATGAGCAAGTTTTCGGGCTTCATATCGCGGTGAAAGTAGCCGTGCTCGTGGATGTGGTCCAAGCCGAGTACGATCTGTTCGTAGATGGAGGAGACCAAGCCGGCTGCGAGCGGACGACCCTTGCGCGATTTTGTGAGCTGGTAGAGGTTTCCCTCCATGCACTCGAAGACGAAGTGTAGCTCCTTGGTCGTCGGCATGAGGAAGGCGTCGTAGAGCGGGATGAGGTTGGGATGTGGGGGTATCGTGAGGAGCGACTTGAGCTCTTTTAGTTTCATACACTCCTGCCAGCTGGGGAAAGGCTTTTTCATCTTTTTGATGGCGACGAGACGCTTTCCGATGTATTCTGGACGTGTTGTGGGATGTTGCATGGGGGAGAGCATGGTGCCGCTAGGAAGGGGACTCTTCCAATCCGCGAGGCAGACGGTGCCAAAGGAGCCATCTCCGACATCCTTGATGACGGTGAAATCTCTTGGGCCTTCGCGCATGAGCGAAGCGGCGGTTGTGGGCATTTGCTGTTGGTCTGGTGGCCTGAGCGAGGCCGGGGCAGGATTGGATGAATGCGCAGTGGCTGCTGCCAAAGTGTGATAGGAGCCGGAAGCCACCTCGGCGGGAGACCTCGAAGAGGAGGCGGCCTGCATGACGGCTGGCAAGCGGACCACGTCGCCGGCAAGGTGAGTGTTGCGAAGGACAAGATCGCGATGCGAGGGCTCAAGAGGTAGCTTCGAGGAGGAAGCAACCTGTGCCATTGCTCAAGTGCTGATGGAACGCAAAGGCATTGTTGGACTCGCAAGAGGGTTTGTGTTGGCGGTAGCAAGTGGAATCGAACAGGCCTGCGGATCTGAAGTGCAACCAAAAAGAATGGCCGGTCGCGGACGGAGCCAATGCGGAGCGGAAGCTGAATGCTTTGACCGAGCAAGCGAAAGGATGGCGACAGCCAGTAACTGCGTCAGAGACCAAAGTCGAGGCCGAAGAAATGCGCCGGGTGAGGTGAATGCTGAGAACAGGAGTGCAAGCGTGGCGGTCAATCTTGAGGGAGAGTGAAAAGACGTGCCAGTGAGCGTGCGGATGAGGCGACGGCAGACCGAGGATTAGACGAAGCGGTTGAGCGAGATCGTGATAAAGACTCAAGCGGTCCGATAGTCGAGGTGTCGAAAGGACCGAGCGCTTGCGTAGATGGGAGGCGAGACCCGAGCGAATGCGGGTGTGAACCTGGTCGTTTTGATCAGAAAGCGCTTCAAGCTGGACGGGGAACGAGCGTGAGACGAGCAGACTGTGGTCGAGATGGTGGTGTAAGGTCGAAGCAGACGAACCAGAACGATGGTGTGAGCAACATGCACGAGCACAAGCCAGAGCGAAGAGGTGAAATGTGTCGAACAAGCGATGTCAACCAAATCGTGAGCGTGACTGTGACTTGTGCGTTGTGCAGTGCGTGCGTTGCTGTGGTAAAGTCCGTGTGGGCTGAGAGAGGCGAGTGTGTTGCGTGCGGATGCTCAATTGCCCGGCTGAGGAGGGCGGGTGCGGCAGCGACAGCCACTTTGTGAAAAATAGATTGCAGCCTGCAGCCTGCGACAGTGGCTCTCTCTCTCAATAATCACCAGATCCTATGCAGAGCGGCTGGCGTGTTGGGATTCTTGACTTGGCTGCCTACCAAAAGCCTGCAAGAGCGGGGCGGGGCGGTGGACGTGGTTATTAATCTTTTTAAGAAAATACATTCAGAAACGAGGGAGGCTACCTGGCCGTCTGGCTCATCCGAAGGTCACGTCGAGCCGCGAATTTCCTCGCAGATTGCATCCTCAGCCGAAGGGGAGCAACGCGGCAAAGCAGCAGCAGGCGTTTAGACGAGGCTGTCTGGTTGCTCATAAAATCAGCAAGGGGCTTCCCTCGTCCTCTAGGTCCAATTGGGGTGAGGCTGCGACTGAGCCGGCCAAGCTGAGCCGACATGGCCAGATTCCAGCACAAAGGGGGGCGCTTATCCGCTGCATACACTGTACCAAAGATCGAGAGACGTGACAGCTCGAGCAGTCGAACACGCGATCGTTCCACCCTCGAGTGTCGATGTCCGTGATGCTGCCTTTTGCTCTGTTGGTCGCTTTTGCTATATTGCTGAACGATACGCTGTGCCTACGTCTTGGCAGGGCTTGCTGCAACGACCCGAGCCACGTTCTCACCTGGGACCTGATTGAGACGCAAGTTTGGAAGCTGCTGAAGGTCATGGTAGAAAGTTGGTGGGGCTCTCAGCTTTGCTTTCATTCCATATGCATCGCGAGCTGCTGCCATCTTGGCAGCCAAAGTTGCAGCCACGGAGGGTAAGGTTCCTGCCGACCGACGCAATGGTCCGACATAGCGAACCCAAAAGGTAAGCTGCAGCCTGTTCGAACTCGACATCGCGGCCTGCTCTTCTGTGTTTGTGGAAACTGACAGGCTGCGCAGACGCGATGCGTCCATCTGACGGACGGCATGGCCAAGCATCGTGGTCACCGCACGAAAATGTGGATTGACAGCGAGCGCCTCGTGTGGGAACACAACACACATGATACAGTTGTAGTACACAGCGGATCTTGAAATTTAGATCCTTATGCGACGCGAAGGAAATATAACGCGATGGAAGATGCGATCTGCATAGGTAGCAGAAGGCCTTGGTGCGCACCCTCCTCCTCTCCAACTAGAACCACGCTGACCGCACAAAGGTTTCTTCCGTGATGGAAGTAGGTGCTCTTGCCAGCGGATGCGATCGCAAGCCCTTATCACAGCTCTCAAACAAAGGGGACGTTGCAAGGCTGATGGCGAGGGGGTTCATCGCTTGTGACTTGCCGAGATTCAGATGGACCAAAGACGTGTCAGGCCAAGGCGCTCTCGCTCATCCACTGACAAGCACGCACGCACACACGCGCGCGCCTGCTTAGAGGGGACAAGGAGAGGCTCGCTTGTTAGCCGCCCCAATTTCGCGATCTCAGATTTTGCCATGTGACGCAGAAGGCGCATAAGTTGAGCAGACCTCGGCGCGATCTTGACGGGGCTCGCCATTTGGAGATGCGTCTCGGTTTGCCGCATGGCTTTCTTTGCCCACGCCTGACACAGGTCCAGCTATTTGGACCTCTGTCGAACTTCGTCCGGCCTTTCCGAGAGTCGGCCGTGTGCGATGCCTCCGTCCGGTCGCCTCGCATCCATTACTGCTAGTGCAGGGCACTGTCTAGCCTCTGACACTACACCATCAGCGAGATTCTTGTGGCTAGATACACGGCATCGGCTTAGCGCAGAACTATTTGAATGTATCCAGCCGTGAGATGGCAACATTCATTTCGGAATCACCGATCTGCGAATCGGGATCGAAGAAATGATCGTGTCGAGTTGCCAGATGTTGTCCGAATGTAAGGCTCGCGTCTCTAACAATATACGTGAGCGATTCCTTCCCAATCCACAAGAGTTGATCCGAGATAACACCGAGCTGATCCTTTTCTCTCATTTCCCACGGCGAGATTATTTTTTCGAGCTGTTGGTCGTTATCATCCTCTACGAGTTTTGGAAGATTTAGAGCACGCAGCGGCGCACCAGCCTCGTTGGTGATTTCCTGCAACTGAGATCTGCACGGATGCTTTCTCTCTTTTTGTTTTTTTGGCAGTCAAAGCGCAATCGATATGAAATCACTTTGCTTCCTCTTTCGGGACCGTCCTCAGCTATGCTCTTTCCTCCCTTCCATCAAGCCCATCGTCTTTGCTTCTGTCCCGCTGCGCACTCGTCTCGACCTCTCTTCATTCATCCGGTCGCTGGCAACCACCGTGAGCACCCGCGAGAGCTCAATCCGAAGCGGATATCCTGTTCGGTGCGAGTGTGAACCAACTCCACACCACCGCAACCCGGGCTGCACACAATTCATCGCGCATCACCGCCGCCTCGACAAGCAAAAGACCGCTGATCGCCTCTCCGCCACCCAGCCGAAACACCGTAGCACATAGGGTTTCGCATCGTATCCGCCGCTCCTACTCTGCCCAACATGCCGCCATTCGCACCGGCACTTCGTGCTGAAGCTTCCTTTGCAGGCCAATCTTCCAGCGCAAAGCCTTTCTCCGACAAGTTCGCTCCCGCTAGCAATGGAGGTCAGCCGCGTAGACTTGCTGTCATGACCTCCGGCGGTGACTCGGCTGGTATGAATGCTGCCGTCCGCTCCGTAGTCAAGATGGCCATCTTCCGCGGCTGCGAGGCCTTTGTCATCCGTGAGGGTTGGGAGGGTCTCGTCAGAGGAAATCACACACCCGAAAACACCCCTTCCGCAACGCCTGCGGTCAGCAGGAGCGCATCCACCTTCTTCGACACTCCCGATACCAAGGGCAAGGCCTCCGATCTTGAACACAACCCAGAACAGTCCGACTTTGTCCCAACCTATGGAGAAGGCGAGCTTCTTCGTGAAGGTGTTGGAGAAGCGCAGGAGCTCGGTCTCCGTGGTCGCTACATCATCCGCGTCGGTTGGGATGATGTGCGTGGCTGGATGGACCAGGGCGGTACGCTCATCGGCACCGCACGTTCCAAGACTTTCCGCACACCAGAAGGTCGCGAACAGGCCGCCTACAACCTCATCATCAACGGAATCGACGCTCTCGCCGTATGCGGTGGAGATGGAAGTCTCACAGGCGCCGACAAGCTTCGCGCCGAATGGCCTGATCTCGTCGCATCCCTCAAAGCCAAGAGCAGGATCACCGAAGAGCAGGCCACCAAGTTTGCCCATCTCAACATTGTCGGTCTCGTCGGCTCAATCGACAACGACATGGCCACCACCGACATCACCATCGGCGCTTCCACTGCGTTGCAACGCATCTGCGAGGCTGTCGACTCCATCTCCTCCACCGCTGCATCCCACTCTCGTGCCTTTGTCGTAGAGGTCATGGGTAGACACTGCGGTTGGCTCGCCCTCATGGCCGGTATCGCTACCGGCGCCGACTACGTCTTCATCCCAGAGCGCCCTCCTCAGGGCGAAAAGTGGCATTCCGAAATGTGCGCCGTTCTGCAGAAGCACAGAGACCTCGGTAAGCGCAAGTCGATCGTAATCGTCGCAGAAGGCGCCATCGACCGCGAACTCAACGACATTACCCCCGACATGATCAAGGACGTCCTCTCCAACGACCTCGGCCTCGACACGCGCGTCACCACCCTTGGTCATACCCAGCGAGGAGGCAAGCCAGACGCAAACGACCGCATCCTCGCCACGCTGCAAGGCATCGAAGCCGTAGATGCCGTGCTCGAAGCCACCCCCGAGACCCCTTCCTACGTCATTGGCATCAGCGAGAACAAGATCACCCGCATTCCCCTCATGTTTGCCGTCGAGCAGACGCAAAAGGTCGCCAAGCTCATCGAGTCCAAGGACTTTGATGGTGCGCTCGCCCTCCGCGATCCTGAGTTTGCAGAGGGCCTCCGTGCCTTCAAGTACATCAGCCAGATCACCGACGACGAGTTGTTGCCCCAGAAGAAGCGAATCAGGATGGGTGTCATCAACGTCGGTGCTCCTGCCGGAGGTATGAACGCTGCTACCCGCACCGCCGTTCGCTACTGCCTCGCAAAGGGCCACGAGGCTGTCGTCATCTACAATGGCTTCCCCGGCTTGCTCGAGGACAACGTCTCGGTCCTCACCTGGCTTCGTGTTGACAACTGGGCAACACGAGGCGGTTCCGAACTCGGCGTCAACCGACACCTGCCCGACATCGACATTGGTGCGGTTGCCGCCAAGCTGCAAGAGCACAAGATTGAGGGCCTCCTCATCGTTGGTGGCTTTGAAGCCTTCAGCTCGGTCAAGATCCTCAACGACAACCGCGATCGATACCCCGCCTTCCGCATCCCAATCGTCGGCCTTCCCGCCACCATCTCCAACAACGTGCCCATGAACGAGTTCTCGCTCGGATCCGATACCTCGCTCAACGCGCTCGTCGACGCTTGCGATGCTGTCAAGCAGTCGGCGTCTGCGTCGCGAAACAGAGTCTTTGTTGTCGAGACTCAGGGTGGGAAGTGCGGCTACATTGCCGTCATGGGCGCGCTCGCTGCCGGGGCCGTGCTCGTCTACACGCCAGAAGTGGGCATCGGCCTTCAGCAACTCGGCAAGGATGTAGCTTTCCTCAAGAGGCGTTTCCAGCTCGACGTCAAAGGCAAGTCCGAAGGCAGGCTGGTCATCCGAAACGAAAAGTCGTCGGATGTTTTCACCACCGAGGTCATCACCAAGATTCTGAAGGAGGAAGGCAGCAGCCTTTTCGACTCGCGTTCCGCCAGTCTCGGCCACACGCTCCAAGGTGGCGTCCCTTCGCCGCTCGATCGTGTCCGCGCTACACGTCTGGCGCTCAAGTGCTGCGAGTTCCTCGAATCCGAAGCGCTCAAGCAGCGTAGCTCTTCGTCGGCGTCGTCCAAGGGCTCAGGCGGTGCTGCATCGGAAAAGTCGTATTCGGACGACACGGCTGTGATGATCACCATCCAAGGTTCAACCATCTGCTTCACCTCGGCCACAGAGATGGCACGAAACGCCGATGTCAAGAACAGACGCGGCAAGACGGCCTGGTGGCACGAACTCAAGGCGCTCGTCGAGCTGCTCGGTGGTCGCACCGCTCTGGCTGAATTGTAGATGTCTGTCTGTACGCTGCGCCGAGGATATTAACAAAACACACACACATGCGATCAACGCGGTCGAGAATCAGTGGCAGAGAATGTGATGTGCAGTGACAATGAACAAGCAGATGAGAAAGACGCAGAGTCGAGCCTAGAAGATGCAGATGGCGTTCGGGGACGAGGCGATGCCGCCCTTGACTGATGACATTTACAAGGACAAGGGCAAAGCAGACACGGCGTCAGCACACGGGTCGAGCTCCAGACAATGCACCCAGCTTGGACAGCGACGGGTGAAATCCCGTCGCACTCACCTCGGATCGGAGCGGATGTGAGGAAGAACGTCCATCTATCGTGCTTTTGACACGCGGTTGATAGTCGTTCCAGATCGAACAGCTCGCCGATAGGACAGCCAAACATGGGGAGGAGCCATTCGTGAAGCCAGAGATCTGTCGAAACAACCAACAAAGGTAGTCAATAAGTGTGTTCTGCGCGATTCGAGCCCATTGGGGGGGCAGAGGGTACTTACCGCCATGAGGACCGAATTCGAACGACATGTTGTCGCTCGCTACCGCGGCAAAGTGGCTGTCCCACAACCATCGTTTCACCTCTTCGGTGGCCTCGATTCCGGGGAAGTTGTCGTTTTCGATCATTCCTTTCACCTTTTCCTGCTCGGAAGCCTGCTCGAACCATCGCACTACGCCGGTTCTGAGCAGCAAAATGTCGCCTGTCCGCAGCTGTGTCCTTTGCCACGCCAGCACCTGTTTGATCTGCTCTAGTGGGATCGCGTACGACTGGTTGCCTGCGGGAATCGGGTCGCTTCGAGTCGATTCCCACCAATGTACCCAATCCACCAACACACCACGTCCTGCAATTCCGCCGTTGAGACACCACTTGTGCATGCTGTTCCTCTCGGCCTTGTCGACTTTACCGGAATGAAGATCGTCGTGTTTGACACCGCCGTAGTACATGTGCGTGGCTTGGTGAGCAAAGTGATTGAAGCCGTCCCACTGGGAGGAGGTTTGCGTGTTGAGGTGTACCTCGTCATCGGTGGCGTAGACGCCGAGCTTGGAGTGGAGGTCGATGACGTGGTGGTGGAAGTGCTTGCGTTGGTTGGCGGGTACGTCGACGCTGTCGAGCCCCCAGTCGATCTGCACGCGTTCGCCGGTGCGGATGCATTCGGAAGCGGATCGTGCCACCACGTCGGGTGTCAGCAGATTGAGCGTGCCCAGCTCGTCTCCGTGTCCCCATACATTCCAGGCGCAGCCGTGCGGCATTCCTGCAACGGCAGGGATGTCGTCGAAGCTAGGCAGGTTGCCGGACGCAAAGGTGCCGCTTTGGCCAGGGCCATTCGGGTCGGATGAAGAGGCTGTCATCGCTCGTACAATTCTTCCGGAGGATTGAAATGTCGGAATGGATATCGGATAGACTCAGGACTCGACCGTGGATACAAGTGAGGAAGTTGATGGTAGCTGGAACAGGGGTTACCGAGACCAGTCATCATGTACCACCAGCCATCGCGGCGTTTCGCTGATTGACAGCGGAGCCAGATCGGTGCCTTGGATGCGTCGTGAGCGTGGGCGGCGGTGGCAGATTTGGGATTCGGTTCTTTTTTGCGGAGATCCCCCACCTCGCGACTGGTCGGCGTGGGGGCGCTCCGATCAATTGGCCGGCCGACCTCAATTCTCCTGCACCATCAGCTTGTAATACATCGTGCCCTGCGCTCTCCCGTCCAGCAATACGACCGAGCTCGCTCGGCCTTGTAAAGCCCTTGTTCGGTTGACCGTGGTCGTAGCTTCAGCCAAGTCCGCTGGAGCTCGAATGGTCATTTCCTGAACATCCGGAGAGGGAAGAGGCTCATTCGATCTCACTTTAGCACATGATCATCACAAAGACAAAGAACGAAAGAAGCTGAAAGCCAAATTGTCATTTCAGCGTCAGGGGCCGAAAAGCGCAACGCCGATACGACAAGAGATAGTTTGACAGATTAGGAGGGGGAGAGTGGGTATTAGGGCAGGAGAACACGAAACCAGGTATACAGTCCGACGAAAAGAGGTTATCACCGCTGCAGGTGCGTCGGAGTCTACTGGATGTCAAAGACAGTGCGAGACGAAAGACGAAAGCGTGGTATGTATATGTAGCTCGACCAAGCCGAGCCAAACAGCCGCGATCCAGTTTTAGACGAGCGACTCACCAGGAGGCTCGTAAGCGTCGGTCTGCACCGTACCCTTTTCGGTGACCGAGGTGTGCTCGTAAGTAGCGTCGAGGCCGGCCTTGCGAGCCGAAGCGACACCGGCACGACCAATTCCGAACTTGTCGTTGGGCAGCCAGATGGGCTTCTGCTCGCCGGTGAGCGAGGGGTGGAAGAAAGCCGAGTCTTGCTCGGGACTGAGGCCAGAATCGGACTGGTGCTTCTCGCCGCTGGCGCCGGCCGCTTGCACACCGTTGCTGTGCAGCCCACCCTGAAGGCCAGGAGCGGCAGCAGCATCGTGCGAAGCACTGCCCTGTCCGTTGACCGTCTTCTTCTCGTTGTAGGCGGTCTCGCCCGAGGTGCGGGAGAAGTTGCCCTCGAGCTGGGCGCCCGAGGACGCGCCACCTGCGAGCGTAAGAGGCAGGGCAGTCTCGAGCTCCCTGAACGAGTCGTTGAGGAAGTAGTGGAAACCAACGACAATGACGATCAGAACCACCATAAAGGCACCTTCGGGAATGGCCGACTGCGACTTTTGGCCAGCGGCATCCTCGGACTGGGCGAGGAAGAAGATGGCGGTGAGCATGACCATCTCGACGTAGAGACCGGCAAAGATGTGGCGGATGGCCTTGCCAAAGAAGAGGCCCGAGGTCTCGCTGGCGGGTTTGGTGTCATAGACGTAGAGGAAGAGGTACTTGTAGCCGAGGAAGAAGAGGAAGAAGGTAAAGACGACGAAGCCGTTGACGATGGGGGCGATGACAACATAGCCGGTTCCGATGACGGTGATCAGCGTCATGGCGGGGAAGAGGGTACCCCACGCCGGTCCGCCAGTGTCGTGGTCGATGTGCCAGACCTTGCGAGGAGTCGAGCCGAGCAAGAACTTCTTGACGTAGTACACGGCGAGGGGAGCCACCTGAGCAAACAGGCCGGCGGCACCGGAGAGACCTTGGAGGGCGATGAAGCTGAGGAAGAAGAGCGAACCTTTGGGAATAGCCTCGGCCAAGAGACCGGGGAACTGGCCGGGTTGCGAAGCCACCTGCTGTACGTACTGGGCAATCTGACCAGCGTTACCCGAGATGAGGGTAAGGAAGAGGAAGTTCTGCACGATCTGGAAGGCGGCGAAACGACCCTGGAGGTCGAGCTCGATGGCGCTGCGGGTGGGAGTACCGCTGAGGCGCGAGAGCAGACGGAGGAAGATGGGGAGCAACATGTTGAGCACGGCAAGGAGGACGGTGGGCAAGATACCCTGGATGATACCGACGACGACGTTGGGAATGCTGTTGAGCCAGCCGAGGAAAGGTACGTTGTCGGCCAGACCCTTGACGTTGGAGATGATACCAACGAAAGCGACGGGAACAGCCCAGAAGATGATGAGGGCGATGGTGATGGCCCAGCCAATGACGGTGCGGATCTTGCGCTCGTACGGGTTCATGTTCATGTTGGCCCAAACGACGTCGTCAGGGTGAGCCTCGACGTAGCGGTTGGTCATACGGTAGGGCTCGTGGTGAGCCTGTGCCTTGGCAGCCATGTGAGCGGCGATCTGGGTGTTGAACAAGATGAAGGCGCTAGACTGAGCAGGGTAGTTCTTGTAGTCGACGGCAATCTCGGAACGCTTCTTCTCGATCTCCTTGTTGAGGCGAGCGATCTCTTCGCGGCACCAGTGAATGGTGTCGACCTTTTCGCCCATGCAAGGGATCTTACCGAGCTTGTGAGTGGGACGCTTCTTCTGGGGGACGTACTGGTCGGCCACCTCGGCGTTGATTTCGAGGTCGGATTGGGGGAGGGAGCCGCTGGCGTCCTGTGCCTTGCCCTTCTTGACGAGCTTGTAGGCGGTCTTGATCAAGCTGGTCTCGGCGGACTCGAGCTTGTTGCACCACTTTTCGCGCTCGTCGTAGAGGTCAGGCAGCTCCTTGAGGTTGCGGTTGAGCCAAACCTTGGCGACGCCGCCAGGGAGCTGCGAGTAGATGCCGCGCAGCTTCTTCTCACTGAGAAGCTCGTTGGGAATACCAGTGATAAGGACGGTCCTCGCCTGGACGGACGAAGCATGCTGAGGAGAGACGAGGAAGTCTTGACGGAGCTTGATGAACTTGGACATGCGGGAACGGATGTTCCACATAAGCCAGAAGGTGAAGATCCACTGGATGAGGAGAGGAGCGACGTAGCGCTTCTGCTGCTGAGGACTCGGACCAACTTTGCTGAGGATGAAGCGGTTGAAGCCGTCACCGACGCCGGTGGTACCTGCGCCGTAGACCGGCATGAGGACGATCCAGGAAAGCAACCAGATGGGGACAAAGATCCAAAGCATCATCTCGAGGTACTCGACAAACATGTAGGCGTCGAGGCCATTCTTTTCGAGGATGGTGGTGGTGGGAGTCTTGAGCCAGACGGGAAGCCAGCCGAAGAGCGATTGAGGAAGAGGCTCGATCTGCTCCTCGGGAGTGACGAGGTAAGTTCGAGGAGCATAGACACGCTTGAAACGAGGACGGGCGATGAGGAAGATGGCGAACAGGATGGCAAAGATGATGGCGTTCAGCACGATGGCCGAGATGACGGTAGAGGTGGAAGCTCCACTCTGAGCAGCTTGCTGTGCAGCCGCCTGCTGGACAAGCAAGGCGGCCAACACGAGCTTCGCCGAACCAGAGACAAGGTTGAACGGCGGCATGTTGGTGGAGGGGTGGTCGTAGGAACGACTCAGAAAACAGTCTCCGCGCAGACGGTGCAGGGGATGGCGTAGTCGACGGGATGTGATGGTTCAGGGGATAAGAGAGGAGCGACACAGGCGGTAACGACACGAGCAGGGTGATGTTATATACGTGGATGTACAATCACTCACTGAGAGTTCAATTCCGTCTGTCACCATCCATCGGTTGCTAGGTTGTGGCATCATCACAGCGAGGCATCTCTGCAGCACTGCTTTCCTTTCCATTCACCGGGCAGCGGCAGCTGCAGCGGCAGCGAGGGCGAAAGGCAGAACCGTAAAAGCGAGGCTACGCGGGTCTGAGTCTCGATCCAAGCTATGATGTAGGAGGCTCGATGACTTTGGGGAGCTGCGTGGATGCGGCGGACTAGCCGTGCTCATTCACCCTGTGTGCTGTTTTTTTTTCACTTTCGCCCTTGGGTCGGTCGGCTGCACGTCGAAATTCGTATGCATGCACGTACACATGCATGCTTGTCTGCGGTGTGCGAAATGTGGGCGCGCCAACCGAGGCCTGGCCCCCGTCCCCCGGGCTGGTAGGCTGTGTTTACGTATTCTCGCATGCAAGCCGATGTCGCATTTTTGGCTGCGAGGAATTTTCGATCTGGCTCTCGGGTTGTTTAGATTTTGCTTTGACATGAGCTCCCGTGCCACAAGTGTCTGACATGAGTCGCGCGCTCCCACCGCGACACTGTCTGTCGGGCAGTGAAGTCATTGCCAGCGCTTGGCATGAGGCGCGGAGCAAAGAAAAAAGTCACATCGCTCCTCAACCCCGTCCTGATCTCGCCTGCGACCCAGCCGCGTGTCTTCTTCTCTCTCTTACCAATGCGATGACGACGATGAAGAAGGACATGTGTTGTGAACACGAGCCTAGAGTGATAAGATCGAGAAGTGAGCGGGAGTTGATGGCGCCCACAAGCGATCTTTTCATAGTCCGCCGGAGGGAGTCACCGTACACCTCGGGCGTGTACAGAGGTCGATGAGGGCGATATCGCTCGAGTCAAGGAGCCGGCTACACGCGTGGCAGTGCGCTGTCATTGTCCAGGTCACCGACTCGGGTTCGAGAATCTCGAACCGACTTTAAGCATCCGCCAAGTCAACTCGCCGATTCCGCTGCAGGTCATCATGGTATTTCCATTTGTTGTCACTGCCGAACACCAGGGGTAGGAGAAATGAGGGTAGTCAAGGCCCTTCCTGCGCCTGACCGTGGCTTTTGGCAGAGAGCCTTGGACATCGTCGCCAGGGAAGATCGTAGCAGGCATCCACTGAAACACGATCTAAATCAAGTTACCGAAGCCAATGAAAGCTGGGGCCCGGGATCCGTAGCTCGCTTTCACGTTCTGAGTTGCGACCCAGCACCTCTGACCAGCTTGACCACGACTTGCACACCAAAGTTCTGCATCACGGCGGATGCTTTGCCTCTCACGTGCTCCGAAGCAGCCGGCTGGCAACGGATAAAATCGTCGCGACACCCTAGATCTTTGCGGCGGCTCAGAAACCGCCCACTCTCACTCAAGGGATGCCGATCTCTCTCGCGCAGACGGATCGACTCATTGATTCGCAGATCAGGCAGCCACCGAACATTGTTTGGTCTCAGCACATCGTCGATCGATATAGAACGCTGATCGCCATGTGGCTGTCACCAATGGAGAGCGATGTCGTAGGCAGGCCATTAAGCATGAACGTCCTACACAATTCGGTCGCTTGTCTTCGCTTTGATGTCTCCCGACGTCGACTCTTCTCTGCAGAGATCGACAAGGCAGATGAACAGCGTCACAGCTTGCAGCGGCATATCTGTCTCGGCCATTGATGCACGTGCTCTGTGTTTTTTGAGCACGCGCCGCACGTCGAATTACCTTTGCGGGACCCAAGCCGCGACCCTTTGTCGGATCCCCCAAATCAAAATTTCAAGCTCAACCACCGCAAACAATCAATCGGCTGGTCCGACTCTTGAAATGCCGAAGCCGAGTCGGACTCATTCCTGAACTTGTGTACGTGTGCAATTCGGCTGAGCCAAAATCGTCCGATTTCATCTTCTGCACCGCCGTCTTGTCGATTTGCGCCCAACCGCCGCCGCCGATGTCCCAATCGCTGTGTGTCTCCCCGACAGACGTTGCCGACGCTTCCGACGGTGGTAGATTGAGTCTCAGTGCAGGGCAAAGCAGGCCCTGTCATGCCACGAGAGGCAAAGGATCTAGAACAACGCACAGTCAACGCAGACACGTCAAATGATAAGGAGCTGATCTTGCGAGTCCAGGTATTTCCAAGTTCCAATTGTTTCCACTCTCAGCTTTTGATACAAACAGAAGCCGCGCATATCAGCACGAAGCTGGCGAAGGCACGTTTTTGCACTTGGTGCTCTTCGATCCACCGCTGATCGACACACCGGACCATTTCCAGTTGGAACACGATCCCGAACCGCACAAGATGTACACCTCAGTCGCTCCGGAGTTGACAGAGCCCGTGACGCCCTTGATGTTGACGTTGCTGATTTTCACTCCGTTGGTCGGCGAGCCTGTAGGTCCCCCGTTCAGGTAGTCTTGCTGGATGTCGATGCCGTACTTGGCGATACCAGACAACTTGATGTTGGAATACGTCACGTTGTTCACCGTTCCAGTAGCCCCCGACACCGTCTTGATTCGCACCGCGTTGTCGCTGTTGACCACTTGCGAATCAATGATGCGTACACCATCCACCGTATTGTCACTTCGGCCGCCAACACTTCCGATCGACAGCCCGTGTCCTCCGGAGCAATAGCCTCCTGAGAAGAGGATGTTGCTTCCCGAATTGATTGCCAGACAGTCGTCCTGGTTGCGCACATTTGCGTTGGTGATGAACACGCCATTCGAGCGAACGCATCCGTGTTGTGGCCAAGATCGTTGGCATCTCCCGCCGAGTTGTCGATCGTGACGTGGTCGACGTTCAGGTTCGTGCATCCGTTGATGCTGAATCCTTGCACTGGCGTGTTCTTGACGTTGAGGTATCGTATGTTGCTGTTCGTCAGTCCATGAGCGTAGAAGAACTTGGGCTTCGTTTTGCCTCCGTTGGTTCCTTTGCCGTCCCACCACTGTGCTCCTCCGCCGTCGATCAACGATCCGCTTGCACCGCTAACGTCGATGTTGCTCCCGGATACAGAGATCAACGGGCCCTCCCAAGCTGCGTATCCAAACGTCGTGGTGCCGCTAAAGATCACCTTGGTCCCAGAGTTAAGTCCCGTCAGATCCAGCGTCTGCCCGGCGGGAACCTTGATGTTGGAGAGCGTAATAGTACTACACGATCCTTTACCGGACTTGGCGCTAGCAGCATCCGTGAAGGTGCATGAAGCCGCCAGAGACTCGCTGACTCCCAAGGCCAGCAACAAGAGGGCAAGGTAAGAGCGCATGGTGTCGGAAAGCGGTCGGCCTGTAGCTAGACTGGCGAACGGCTATGTCAAAGGCTTTCGTTCAGATCGTGACAAGCTCTTTATATGAGGACGCAGCCGCCGTCACAGCGATGCTCAACCTCATGTCCCATGGCGTTCAGCGGCGCTTCTCCCCGGGCTTCTCCCAATCCCCCGCCATTCGCCTTGCTGCCGATTAGAACCACGCACGTTTCGCCGTCGCAGTTCCCGGTCGTCCGAAGCCCCACGCAGCCCTCTGTGTTCTGCAGCGGCGATTCTCGTGAATTCCTACGACCGCTTGTACGATTTTTGTAGAAGCAAGTGCTTGGAAAGGTCATGAACGCAAAGCCTGGTAGTGTGGAGAGTCTGCTGTGGAAAGATTTCCGAAAAGCTCGGATACACGTTGGCGCCACCGGTGAACCACGCGAGCCAGCCTAAAATGAAACATGCATGGTCATACACGAGCTGCATGGCATTTCCAAACTGCTCTTCTGGAATCATTTTGACGGTCGACACGTTTGACATGGCAACAAGGTTCGCTAAGGCTGTTCATTTCTGCATGAGAGCGCCTGGCAACCAGCGCTTCGGAGCTGTTCGTCTACCAAATTGGCAGCATGCAGGGACTGCAGTAGCTCCTCTCAAGGCAAACTAGTCTACTCGCGATCAGAATGCCGGTCATACCTTAAGGAAGTCGCGGCAATGCGATCCGTCTCTCACAGTGGACAGACCCGAACAATCAGAGCCGTCACGCGGCGAGGCTGTAGACGGAAACCTCAAGGGTATATTGCATCGGTTCTGACAGGCGAATCTAGCTAGCAAGTTCGTCGAAATGGCGAATGCGGGGACAATAAGGGTCAAGTACACAGGGAAAGTCGAGCGTAAAGTCTCGGTGACGCAGCGCCGTGAACCTTAATCAAAGACAACAAAGTCGCTTCGGGCCACCTCCATCCGACGCCGAATCTGACCGACAATGCGCCTCGGGCGTCCACCCTGCGCCACATGCTCTACGGGGAACTCACGAATCTCGTTGGTCTGACCAAGGAAGTCTGGCGGCAGGTACTTGACGAGCGAGCTGAAATCTAGTGAGAGTAGCGTGCGGTCGATACCCGTGGGCCGCACATCGCCAGCAGCTGCGACGGCACCGTCGGCGAAAGTGGTGATGACGTTGCCGTGGTGCGAGGAAACGGCCTTGACTCCATCGGCATCTCGACCGTTGATGGCGGTGCGAACAGCGCGCAATACGGCACGGCGGATGCGCGAGCGTTGTGCTTGGAGGTAGCGTCGAGCCCGCGACTCGGACATGTTGGGGGCCAGAGCAGACGTCGCGGCAGAGTCTGAGTCGAACTCTTCGTACTCCTCGGACGACTCGTCGGTGGTGAAGGAGGGCACACGACCGGTGGCACCAAGACCCCTTGGTCGTACCCCGGCTTCCTCCTCGAATTGACGCCGCCAGCTGGCAGGAGCGTTGATCCAGACCTTTCGTACTGCATCGGCCACAAGCCTACGCGCGCGATCCTTCGATTCGGCGGGCGATCGGATGGCCAGGAAGGGCTCAACGTCGTCAGGTCCAGCACCATCGGGTGCAACAGGAGCGGTGAAGACGGAGCTCGAGTTGATATACTTCGGATTGAGCGTCCTGGAGAGCAGCGGATGAGCAGCAGGCGTCTGCTCGTCGCGATGCCGACTCTTGCGACGACTGGGAAGCAGCAGGTTGACGGGCGGGCGGGCGGCTGATGCGGCGCGGGCGAACGCAGCATGGACAGGACCTGTGGCGCCAAAGTTGGCAGTCGCTGGTGTTGCGCCAGCACCGGGCGTGACGGCGGGCGTGTTGACGGCGCTGCTTGTGTCGGGAGCGGCCATACCATTGAACAGCTGTCCGGCAGCTGAGGCGAGAGAGGCTTTCTCTTTGGCGACCTGGGCAGCTTCGAGCTTGCGCTTGTGCATCCTTCGTCTGACACTGCAGATGCACTTGTAGCCCCACCACAGATGCATTGGGTAGGTGACGAGCAGACTGATGGCGGGCCCCCAGCTGCCGTTGATGCCGGGCGCGCCGCGGCCATGTTGAGTGAGACAAGCGACGAGCAAGGCGAAGTGATAGAAGACGCGAGTGGCGAAGAACGTGATGGTGAAGGCCATGTTGGAGCGAAGCGGAGGATAGATGGAAGCAACGCCCATGATGAGCGTGGGAAGCTCAAAGATGGCAGCTGCGGCTGCTATGTGAGCCCAGCCCTTGTGAACCCAGAATGAGAACAAGAAGGTGTAGGCGATGTGGTGAATCCATCCGGAAGAGAGGTTGATGAGCTTGCGATAGTAGATGGAGCCCAGCGTAAGATCCGAGATGAGGTAGGCGATGAAGAAGGCAGCGAGGGGCTCGGCGACCGTCTTTGTCCTTGGTCGAAGCGAGTGAAGGTCGAAGCCGCCCAAGAAGAGATCCCAGAGGTAGGGCAAGCTTGCAACGCACATGACGAAGCTGGCGAGAGTGGTGAGGATCCAGCATCGCTTCTTGAGCATGTCCTTGGAGTCGCCTCGAAGCCAGGAATGGGACAAAGCGTGAAAGGTGACATGCTGCACCACGAGCGAAGCGTAGAAAATGGTATGCAGCCTGGGCGATGCCAGAGCAGAGGTATCTGGCAGCACGAAGCGATCCGCAAAGACAAACTGCGTCATGGTGTCGAGTCGCGAATGCGCAGTTGAAGTGGGAGAACCAGCAGAGCAGCGGGATCTAAAGCCAAGGGCGTTATGCCTTTCTACCGGATGAGACCTTAGGCAGTCATTCGAATGTACCAGCCTTCAGACTGTACAGTACCTCAGACGACTAGATGTACCGTAATGTAGGGTGTAGGAATGAGATCGAGGTGGTAGTACCAAAGCAACTCTTTTGCAGCGGTGTGAGCTGCAAGTGCTATTCGGTGGTCGGCTCGCGTGTCAAGTGGCAGTTACAGCCACTGCAGCGTGTCGAAAGACGAGCGATTCGGCGATGCTGCTCAGAGGTGTGTATGTGTGGAGTGGAGATAGAGAGAGCGTTTGCTAGGGGCTGAGCCAGGATAGGAGGACAGCATGCCGCGAATCCAAAACAGTGGTCGTCGTGAAAGTGCGAACGTGGACAGGCAGCGATAATGAATGCACGCCACGCTCAAAAACAAAGCTCATTTCTCCAGCTTTTTTGGGTTCCCGGCTGAGCTGGCCTCGGTGGAGCGGGCAACGGCGAATGCGAGCCAGCTCACGGTCCACGTTCTCAGGGTCCAACGCGTCATGGCCCATCGAGCAAGGCGCAAGAATGCCATCGGGGTCCCCGATAGGATACTCTCACCAGCTAAACGGAGCTATGATGGCAAGCAGCATCCTGTTGCAGCCTTCATTCTGTGACGGACGTCTTCTATTGAACGCTACCTATCTTCATGAACGAGTTGAGCTGTACCGGCAGTCTGCAACTGCGTTATTGCGGTCACGTTTGTATGCATTTGGTCACGGTAGTGCGGATGATCTGTATCACAGGTTCACACGCTCACTCCGCCATTTCGCGCTGCAGACTCACAGCTCACATACGAACCAAACGATGGACCAGTCAGTCAAGTTAGTGGTCCCAGGAGTTGAAGCGCAGCGAGGCGGAGAGCATAGATGCCTCTCGGCACCACCTCGCTGTTGATGGTTCAGGACGGTCACACGTGGCCAGTGTCACAATCAATTGTCATTGAGCTCACAATTATCAGCTAGCATGACGAAGGTGTCTTCATTTTGGCAGTTTAGATTTTCAAGCAAAGTGTCTGCCACCAAAACGACTAATTTTGTATAATTTGTCGGTCAAAAACTCCACAAAAAGTCGGCCGTGATTTAAATCTTCAAATGTTGATGCAATAATCAGAACAGCATATTTGTCAAGATGATCTTGACGTGGAAAACAATTCGCAGACAACGAAATTACGCCATAACAATCTGTGGTAAGAGGATAAATACGAGCGCCCCACTTGTGAATTGATCGAACGTGTACAGACGAGCATGGCGGATAAAAGCTCGTAGAGTGAAGTCCTACAGCCGGATTTATACCTCAACATATCGCTGACCCACCTTTCAATTTCCGCCGCGAACGTGGCAGCTGAACACACAAGTTTACCCAAAGCTGTTCGAAAAAAGGCGAGAGGCGCTGCAAAACACAAAGAATGGATTAATCCTCAAAGTAGAGCGATCTAGAACAAAAAATTAATGAAGGAGATTGACGAAAGAAGGAGTAAAAACTTCTATGAGCCATTGTATTCAATTTCGGTCGATTCTAAACTTCAAATTCTCGCACATTAGACAGACGGTCTCACGTCAACAACCTATGTGAATCTGACGAATTAGCAACATCAGAGAAGCCGTGAAGCCTGATGGTCAATATCAAATGACCACGACTCACCCGATCGCTGCTCGAACATTTTCGTCAGAGAGCAGTAAATGATTTCTGCGAGATGAGATGTTGTGATTCGGACGACAAACGATCTTATTCGAACTTTACTTTTACTGCACAAACGGAGACGAACAATATCGGTGCCATTTTTTTGTTCTTTCGTAGCCGAAAGGATCGATTCTTGCTTGGCAGTATACAATTTCAACACTTGATCGGATATTCGGTAGTATTTTGTCAATGCATCTGCATTTAGCACAAGTGTGGAAGCAGACAGACACCGTAGTCACAAAGCTTGTTCTATCCTCCTTGCAAAAGTTCTGAGCAGCGCGGATCGACATCGTGAATGAATCCTCAAATTCTAGCAGACGAGCAGACGGACGTCATATCTGGCGAACTCTTCTTGATTAGGGGCAGAAAAGTAGGGAAAAAATTACAAGGCATTTTTTGTAATTTCTTAGCGCGTATCGCCATTCTAGTCGTGTCTCTTTGACCTTGCAATCTAGCCGCCATATATGTAAAGTTCTGCTGAGTCAGCATTACACAAGCTATGATGTATAGTTGAAGTGCGTTCAGCCCGGCAGCTCACTCGCCGCTCGGCCTGTGTCTGCAAGGATGGCACCGAGCCGTCAGAGTATTGAGCCCGGTGGAGCGAAAGGAGCAAAAGAGTTGGTTCGGGGTTTGCCTCGACAGCGACCCATCCTGGGCCCTCTCGTTCCCTGGCCAGCTTGAGCGACGATACTTGACGACGGAGGCGCGCCTTGTCTCATAGTCACGAATGTTCGCTGCTCTTCTTCTTCTTCCATGTCGTTTCCGTGCGGTTAGAAGCGCAGATCTGATCAAGGAAGTGCGGACCGCGGAGCTTTTGTTTGCCTATCATTTGCGAACTCGGTGAAAGGGACGATATCACAAACTCGCCAAAGAGATTTCAAATCGGCACGCCAGCGAAGTCAAGGGTAGGAAGTGACATTGGTAATGGGCATGATGACAACAGCAGAGTCAGACACGCTGAGAGCAAGGATGCGACCCTTGACATTCTCATCGATGCGCATCGATTCGTTGATAAGGCTTCTTGGTCATGACAAATCGGAAGCGGTACGGATGATTCGTGCAGCACTGGTTGGAGGTACGAACTCCGGCGATTCGCGACTACGCGACCTCACCAGTCGTCACGACGTCGTCGTCCTATCCCTGGAGAGCCTTGATGGCAAAATTAGCGCCCATGGACTGAACGTTGGAATCTGTGGGGTAGAGAAGATGCTGGAAGGTGATACCGAAACCAGTCTGGGAGGCGCAGACTCCATCGCCCAAGATGCAAATGTCGAGGGATTTGTCGACCCAGTTGGAGGGAATGCCAGGCGAGAGAAGAGCCGAGATACCGCTGAAGCCAGCAGTCGATTTTCCACCATTGTTGTCGACGTTGCAAGCAAGGTTGGGTTTGTGGTCAGGATTTCCGATGAGGATGACGGCCTTGACAGCGTCGAAAGCGGATCCGGTGAGCTGTGGAAGGGCAGCCACAGTGGCGGCAGCACCCTGGGAGTAGCCTTCAAGGATGAAGCAGGCGTCTGGGTTGGAAGCCAGCGTGTTCTTGACCTTGGCAACGATGTTCATGGTTCCCAGGGTCGAGATCTGCGTGAAGTCGGCGGGGTAGACGGTGTCGTACTCGGAGCCGCCGGGCACCGATAGCAAGATACGTGAGTTCATGGTTCGGAATCCGGCAGAAGGGCCCTGAAATTCTCCCGTTCCTCGGGTGTCGATGATGACGTAGGAAGAGCAAGCGGCTCTCTTGGTCATCGGCATAGCTTGGGCGACGGCGGCAATTGCCAGCACAAGAGCAAGGAAGAGAGGCTTGACAAACATCTTGGTGACAGGTCGAGTGGGGATGGGTGGGCGGGGAGATAGCTGGCACTGAGAGTGTTGAGGTCAAGGGGGAGGATGAGCGGGGCTCAATTCGAATGGTTATATAGCTTCGACGATGGGGTCCATCCTGCCAAGAAGGCGAGTGACGCCAACAAACGCAGTCACGTATAGCAACGGATTGGCACCTGGCATTCACATCGCCCCGGGAGCGCAAAGGAAGGGGCAGATTGCAAGCATTAAAATGCATGATCGCAAATTGCGGATGTCGACCACCGAACTTGATGGCCCTGTTCACCAAGGCAAGCGGTCCTTGGACCGGAATGCATGGTCCGATGTAGCGTGCTCGTCACTATCGACAAGCGATCTGCATAGTCTTTAGCATGACTCGAGAGGGCGAAACAAGATCAGAGAATGTCGAACTAAGAGCTGTTTGACCATAGATGCAATCTGAGGACAGCCTGAACCTGAACTTGGCTCGGAAGCAAGCTTGAAGCCGGCGTGCGACCGCAACACGCGAAGCCGGGGCCGGCATTCTTGATTGGTGGCGTGCCATGAAGCGTCGACGTTGCATGTCAACGTGCGGTGCGCCGTCGTTCGGACATGAAACACTTTGCGCTCTAGGTGCCACGCTAGCGTCTGGTAGTGCAGCGATCCGGCAGGCGGGAAGCCGATACGGGAGCAGGAACGAGCCGGATAGGTTAGTGGATCGTACCAACTCAAGCGGCTAAGGGGCAATTGGCGGCTAGTTTGCCGACTACAAGGTAGGGATGCTGATTCACGTGGTTCGAGAAGCAAGTACAACGGTGCGGTTGCCGGAATCCACCAGCTCGGGGCAGAGTGAGGCGATGCTCGATTGCAAAAGAGCTTCGAAGACTGAGCGGCGAGTAAGGGCGTCCAGCGTTGGGCGTTCACATGAGTGTCAACGCTGTAGCGGAGCCTATGGTTGCATGGACGTGCATCAGCGAGCCACTAGAAGATTGGTGAAACGGGCTTCAAGCCTTGCAAGCATGTTGTCCAATTGCGATAGGCCAGTCACGGCCTGTGTCACTGGCTGTGAGGGCAGTGGTGGTGGCCGTTAGCGTGTTTGACAGTCAACAATGGGATGTCTCGCTTGGCAAATCTGGCGAGATTTCGAAGCTAAGGACAGAAATTGGATCTGCATTTGTGCAACAATGGGGAAAAAAAGGCGCTAAGGACAAGAACAAAGGAAGTGTCTCGTCTTTACTACCGTCCGCCAGCCTCGAAAGCTTTTGCTGAGAGAACGATGTCGATACCGCGCCTTGCTTGCCGGAGGACGCGGCATCGTGAGCATCGGCAGGATCGAGAACACCCGCAATGGTCATGGTAGTAAGCAAGCTTGGCGCATGTGACGCCGCCTGACGCGCATGCAAGCTGAAACGCCAATGTCGGCGCCGGTGGCTATTCAAGGTAGCACTTCGGCGGCATTGGTCGAAGGGGACTCAAGGCATGTGGAAGCATGAACAATTGGTGTGAGACAGCGCTGGATGTGCATGCTCTGCCATTTGTCAAGGACGTAGCCGCGAATGTTTCGTCACTCGTCAAGCAGCAAACAAAGTGTTAAATAGCACTGACCCTTCTCTCAAGACAATGGCACAATGTCCGAGGCGAGGGTTTCGTAAGGGAAAGTTACAACGAAGCCGAACAATCGACGGCTCTTGTATGCGCATTCGCTGCCCGTGCGATGATGACGACCGCCAACAACTCGCGATGACTTGCGACGACGTTTCAATCGTGTCTGATTCACATGTGCCGTCCAGAACACATGACGGACGGATTAGGGAGCCGCTTGCGAAGTAACCAGAAGTACTGTGCGTGCTGAAAGGTCGGGTGTACCCTAGCATCGGGTAGATCAGTCTTTCGTGCATCCGGGACGATCTCTGCAGAACTCATGCATTGGTCGTAGCGGGAAATGGGCCAACCGATTGAACAGCCTTTGCGCGAACCGAGGAGACCGACAGTCATAGCCCGATGTCACAGATCTCCCATCCGATGTGGTAGACGGATCCTCGGTCGACACGGTTGGAGTGTGCCGTGAGGCGCCAGCCTGGTTGGATGAGAAAGAAAAAGGATGAGAAATCGACGCGGAAATTGCGGGATGCTGCCGCTCTATGCAACTCGGTGCTTTTTTACGCATGCCAGCCGACCCCGAGCACCCGATGGTGGGGTTGTTGCCGCCCACAGCATCATCTTGTCACGGCAGGATCCGATATCCGCCAGGTGCCTCAGCTTGTGCTGAATGCAGGATGTAAGATTCGCATGTGTTGGCTTGTTGCTGGAGCAGCCAAGGCTGGTGTGTGACGCATGGCGTGAGATTGCCACCAGCAGTGGGGAAGGATACGAATAATCCTTGATCTATCTCACGGCAATAGATTGAGCAAGAGTTGTCGTGGCCAAAGCCTTCCGCTTCGCACACGTATCGCGTGACCCAAGGGAGACGCCAGTATGCTACAGAAGAACGCAGCTCATCGCAACGCGAGGTGGGCGGTGGGCCAACGTTGACAGAGACAATACTTCCCTGTGTTGGCTCATCATTAAGCTCGCTGCCATTCGAAAGGCCGACTTGACCATAGTTCTCCCTCGCGCTCATGTGTACCTAAGCGAGGTCAGGGTTCGGACTGTTGAGCGTTTCCTTTACGTGCTGTGAGTGGTTCAGATGGCGAGCAGACGGAAGCGTCATATTGTCAGGCACCAATGCCCACATCGAAGTGTGTCACCGTCTCGGCCCGCGAAGTGGGCCAGACCAAAGGGCGGGAGCGCAGCGTGGACGTGCGAGATGGCGGCAATTTGGAATGGTCGAAGCGCAAGGAACCGAGAAGCAGGACCAGTGTGACGAAAGCTCTTGCGTGCGGCAGTCAGGCGCGCCTTGACTTGGCGAACAACAACTCGGGTTCAAGACCCGAGGCTTTCTTTTTCTTGTTCTGTCACACACAGACCCAAGCGAGCGACAAAAGGTGCGCATGACCCTGACCGTCGTAACTCCGTCTGGCAAGCTTCTCGATTCGGTGGCGTTGCGCACCGCCTGTCCGTCAGCGTCGTCGATCGCATTTTACGGTCGTCGCCGCCGTTCGACTCTACTACAACACTGTGTCCGATCGAAGGAAGGCATCGGCCAACCTAGATGAACGCTGATCTTCAAATGGCCGAACCTGGGAAGAGCCCATCGCTGAATAAAACGCCGACGAGCTCGAGTTTTCGATTTTGGCGGGTGGTCCGTGTTTGAGAACCTTTTTTCTTTTCGGGTTTTCGGCTGGCGAGCGGGCGTCTGTGCGGGGAAGGGAAGGGGCGAGGCGAGGGAGGAAACGAGGCACGTCAAAAAGTGCGTAGGACAGCGCGTCTCGGCGCTTTGTGGCACCGAAGAAGCTGAGTGCGGCTCTTGACCGAAATTCCACACAGGATTGCCTCGTCTCGCGCGCTCTTTGGCGGGAGCAGAGGCAGAAGCGCCAAAGCACGCTGCGCTGCGCTGCGCTCGAGCTGCCGCAATGTCGAACGCTACGCTCACTCCGCCTCCGCTCCGTGTGACCTCGCACTGGGCAAGCTGCCCCAACCGAGATCGCCATTGCTGCCCAACTTTGCCCCGCAGTCCGAAGATCGCTCATCTTCAACGCCGTATATAACCACTGCATCGCAGCGTGACCACTTCGACTTCATCTCGATCAGCTCCCCGCCACTGCTTCATCTCATCCTCCCCCACTAGCACACAGCCCATCTTTAACCATGCCGACCCTCAACCTTGACCTGCCTAACGGCATCAAGACCACCATCCAGGCCGACTTGTTCATCAACAACAAGTTCGTCCCCGCCCTCGACGGCAAGACCTTCGCCACCATCAACCCTTCCACCGGCAAGGAGATCGGTCAGGTTGCCGAGGCTTCCGCCAAGGATGTCGACGTCGCTGTCAAGGCCGCCCGTGAGGCTTTCGAGACCACCTGGGGCGAGAACACGCCCGGTGACGCGCGTGGCAGGCTCCTCATCAAGCTCGCCGAGCTCGTCGAGGCCAACATTGATGAGCTCGCCGCCATCGAGTCGCTCGACAACGGCAAGGCCTTCTCCATCGCAAAGGGCTTCGATGTCGCCGCCGTCGCTGCCAACCTGCGCTACTACGGTGGCTGGGCCGACAAGAACCACGGCAAGGTCATGGAGGTCGACACCGCTCGCCTCAACTACACCCGCCACGAGCCCATCGGCGTTTGCGGTCAGATCATCCCTTGGAACTTCCCCTTGCTCATGTTTGCCTGGAAGATCGGCCCCGCGCTTGCCACGGGTAACACCATCGTCCTCAAGACCGCCGAGCAGACTCCTCTCTCCGCCATCAAGCTTTGCGAGCTCATCGTCGAGGCCGGCTTCCCTCCTGGTGTCGTCAACGTCGTCTCTGGTTTCGGCCCTGTCGCCGGTGCCGCCATCTCGCAGCACATGGACATCGACAAGATCGCCTTCACCGGTTCCACCCTCGTCGGTCGCAACATCATGAAGGCCGCCGCTTCCACCAACCTCAAGAAGGTCACCCTCGAGCTCGGCGGCAAGTCGCCCAACATCATCTTCAAGGACGCCGACCTCGACCAGGCCGTCCGATGGTCCGCCTTCGGTATCATGTTCAACCACGGCCAGTGCTGCTGTGCCGGTTCGCGTGTCTACGTCGAGGAGTCGGTCTACGACGCCTTTATGGAGAAGATGACCGCCCACTGCAAGGCCCTCCAGGTCGGTGACCCCTTCGCCGCCAACACCTTCCAGGGCCCTCAGGTTTCCCAGCTCCAGTACGACCGCATCATGGAGCACATCGAGTCCGGCAAGAAGGACGGCAACCTCGCCCTCGGCGGTGTCCGCAAGGGTGACCAGGGTTACTTCATCGAGCCCACCATCTTCACCGACGTGCCCCACGACGCAAGGATCGCCAAGGAGGAGATCTTTGGCCCCGTTGTCGTCGTCACCAAGTTCAAGGACGAGAAGGACCTCATCCGCGTCGCCAACGACTCGGTCTACGGTCTCGCCGCCGCCGTCTTCAGCCGCGACATCAGCCGTGCCATCGAGACCGCCCACAAGCTCAAGGCCGGCACCGTCTGGGTCAACTGCTACAACCAGCTCATCCCTCAGGTGCCATTCGGTGGCTACAAGGCATCGGGTATCGGCCGAGAGCTCGGCGAGTACGCACTCACCAACTACACCAACGTCAAGGCAGTCCACATCAACCTGTCGCAGCCTGCTCCCATCTAAACAGAGCAACTTGCTCGAATATAACATTGAATCAGGTATCATCGCTTTTGTCTTTTTTAGTGGCCTCCTGCACCGTATTCCCGATGAATCCATCGTCATCATGATCTCCCTATTCCCAATGGCTGCAATGTGCCGACGCGATGCGAGGCTGTGTGGATAGAGCGGAATTTGTAGGGGCCGTCAGTTGTTTCATTGTCGACGCCGAGAGTTTCGTCGCGGTCGAGCATGTCGGCGATGAGCAATACGATGGTGATGATATCTTCCCGCCGGCCAAGCGCACCGAGCTTTCTGGTCAAGCCTTCCATAACAAGTAACAAGTTGGACTTGAGCAACGACAGCCACTTGAGTAAAGCGACGGGGAATAGCCTGCATGGTCATTAGTGCGCATTCATTCCATCGACATCTTCTAAGATGGCATCACATCCACTGGTCTCAGTATCCTTATGAGATTCAACGAGTGTCAGATATAGGTGCAGTGAGGCAGCCTCCAACTCTCGAGCTCGTTGACTTTAAACTTTCTGAGAAGCACTCGATGAACGTCTGCTTGACGAATGCACTAGCTGAGCCTTTCGAATTGTTCAACTGTCTCCCGAAGTCTTTGACAAAAGTGTTGGCTGCATTCTGCGATGAAAGCAAGATGCGCCCCATGTCTAAAATCGTGTCTGACAGCCCCATCGTCCGGGCAGCCCGTCAGGTTCAAAAAAAACCGTCCGGCGCACAGAGTGTCGTGGAGACCATCGTCGGATATGTTGCAAGACCCGGAAACAGAGTCCCAACAAGCACTGCGTTTCCGAAGCATGAAGGGTGTGGGTGTAGACAAAGGAGGGAACAAGCGCAAGCCAGGTGCTTGCTGTTTTGCTATGGGCTCAGCAAGAAGAAGTCTTTGCTGTCGAGGGAAACAATTCAGGCTCAGAGAGCCCCCGCTTCTCTTCACTCGACGCTCGCGCAGCGGAAATGAGTATTACAAGACCGTAAAGAAGGCGAAGAAGAAGGGACAGAGTCCACCTGTGCCAGTAAGGGGGTTTTCTGCGAGACAAGAAGGAGGCGGTCGACTTCCTGTACGGCAAAAGGGGGGAAATACAACGCACCCGATCTTGATGATTCAGTGTGACTGTGTATGACTGTGAGCGAAGCTGAACGAAGGCCTCCTCCTCCTGGGCCGTTGCCCCGGTGCAGCCTCACTTCCTCAGTGTGCTTTGGTGAATGACCAGACGCGTCGCCACACAACGCAGCATATTCAGACGCATAAGATTGACCAGCTGAGCATCGGTATGAAGCTACAAACGATGTAGTCGAGATACGAGAAGTAGTGATGATACCGCAGAAGGTAGCGACCGAAGTTAAACAAGCCCAAGTGTGCTCGAAAATAGCGTCATCAACCTGTCCTCCTTCCAACTGCGTCATGCAAATGTACAGCACTAGGATTAAGCCGGTGAATTGCTTTCTTATGCGTGCGTCCGGCAAAGACAATTCCTTCCGCGAACGTCATTTTGACCGATCGACCCATTTGAGACCTGCCTTTGCCCTGTTAACAAGCGCCTTCAGGCACGCGCCTATAAGCGGACCCACGTATGCTAGATTTTGCCCAACAGGAGAGCGATAGATTCATCAACAAAGCTCGATAGCGCCGTTTCGAAGCCTGTGCAGACCTGCACCGCAAAAAGGAGCAACACGAACCCCTTGTCTTTAGCCTGCGCAGTATTCTGCGATGCCCTCTTACCTGTCAATTTGAGAATCTTTCACCTTGCTTCGGCATCAATTAAGTCCTGCAAAGGCAGCATTTGGAGACGACCCTGTCGATTTGGTCTCGAAGTAGCTTCTTACGTTTGTCGGCCAAAAGGCCGAGGCAGCTGACCCCTTGAGTCGCTCGAGAGTGCTGAAGATGTCCTGAACACCCAAGGCAAGAACAACAGTTTTGCCCAAAAAATGCTACTCCCGCCGAACTGATGTGACCAACGTCATCGCGTCGGAAGGCTCGAGAATGTTCACGTTCAAATTCCAGAGATACCACTTGGACGACCATGTCAGCCTCGATGTCCACCAATTCACGATTCTCCTGTCGAGGAGAGTCACAAGCCTCAACGGATCCTCCATCTTGAGGCCTCAACGATCGCTCGCAGACGTCTGCAGGGTAAGCAGGATCGTGCGGAACATAGCATGCTCCAACCTTGAGAACAGCGAGGATGGCGACCACCGTGTCGATACCCTCATCAAAGCAGATCGGCACGAGCTGCTGACCGTCCTCGGCTGGTCCTGGGCGGCTCGGAACGTCGTCCAACCCGGGCTGACAGAAGCAGCCGTCCGGCCGTCTGTACAGCAACAAACGCAGCCTCTCAGCCGTCGCGTCCGCACGTCGGTCAAGATCACGGTAGATGACAAAGTTGCTGCGCTCACATTGGACCGCTATCTTCTCCGGCGTTCGCGCAGCCTGCTCGGCAACGAGCTCGTGTGCGGAGGTCACAGCACGATCATTGGCTGTCAAAGTCTGCAATTTGTTCTCGCCCTTTGCAATTGGGATTCTAAACATGTTTCGAAATCCTGACTTGCCTAAAACTAGAACGTGTGGGCTTGAGTGCGTTGTTTGGGTTGCCTTGGGAAACACTTGTTGATTCCGTTCCTACCCTAAATCGGTTTTCTAAGCTTCGTTTTACTGTATTCACCAGCCGGACAAAGTTGATGGTACTTGACGTCTCCGACAACTCGAACTTGTGAATCGAGCTCACTGAAAATTTTGATGCACGATACGACAACTCGTCTGTTCTCCTTCCTTGTCAGACTTTGCGGGGCTGACGTGGCCAGGAAGTGCAGATATTGCTGATTTGAAGCAAAAGTCTATGACAGAGAGAGCCATGCATCGTCTGCAAACCGACACTGAACATTGTTCTATAGTCAGAGGTTAAAATGAAAGATTTACCAGTAGCGACTGTCATTAACAAGGCAGTCCCACGGTGCTGACGATACCCATCGTCAGCAAAGACAGCAAGGCTGTGAAAGCAAAGACTAGCTCCGGGAATTCCAGATGCAAGCCAATTTTATAAACGTTCGCAATAAGTATCGGGCCAACAGTACGCATGACACTGTCACATGTGTACAAGACGGCAACAAGATCCTCCGTCGATGCCGTTTCCGGTAAGAATGCCATTGCAAGCGCAACAATTGTTGAGTCAGCACCCGAAGAGAGACTGAAGAAGATCAAAACCAACGCAATTCCTGCGAGGCTGCCCTGACAACCAGCGATCAGCCAGACTGTCCAAGAGATGACATCCATAGCTAGGGAGCCAAGTACGAGTATGCGGTCGCTAGCGAGGTTTGAGAGGCTGGGCTGCTCTACTCTGCCCCTCGCAGGTGAAAGTGGCGAGGCTGCGGTTGCGAACCCAACGTGCTATAGACGGGAACAGAAACATGAGGAAAAGCCAACTCATGAGACCGGTCGAACCAGTCAACAAGGTGAGGTCTTTGGCCTCGAGCGCAAAACGAGATTGAGTGTAGACAGCGTGTATATTGGTGGCGACCAAGATCTCATTGCTCGTCATGCTGGCAACCACCATCTTGATGAGGTTCGAGCTCGACCAGAGCAATAGAAATGGTCTGCAGGCTTCACCAAGCCTCCTCCACAGCCTTGCTCGACGTCTTGCTGGATATGGTCTCTCATCTTGGGTTGACAGGGAGTCAAGAGCCCCGTGTTGTGTTGGTGACCCTGAAGATATAAATAAGCTGAGCAAAATCGTGGCGGCTGAAACCGTCGCGCCGATGCGGAGCGGCAATATTTCGATAACAAGGTCGTGACTAGTCTCAAGACGGAGTGACTGAAGCATCAGTGTAGAGATGAGCATGCCTGCCGAGGAACTCGCAGCCAACCTAGCCAACCAAGCTGACCGCACCCTACTTGATACCGAATCCAGGACAATGGTCTGGGAGACCATGCTGAGCAGCGTGTCGCAGCCCATCAATCCCGACAAAGCCGCCTCGACCATGAACAGTTGCAGAGATAAGGTCGGGCTCGGGTGCCAACCGTTGCGTCCGCCACTTTGCTGTGCCAATTCAATTCGCCCAGCAAAGTAAGCTAGAAACAAATGGTCCAGAGTATTGACGATCGCAGCTACGAGCAAGGAGCCGTTTCGACCAAGATGCTTGATGCAGAGAGGACAAATGACTAAAGCTGATACGCACGACGCGATACTGTTGAGACTTTCAGTGTAAGCAAATACACTAGAAAAGCGTTCGTCCACCTGTGCCAGCTGACAATTTCGCATCGAGTGGGTATGAAACGAGAAAATCCGACTCCTCAGGAGGTTATACTGCACAGACAAGTTCGTGCGAGCCTCACAATATGCACCTTAATTCACGGGCGGGATGCTTGAGAACTGGAGGGCTCGCGCTGCACCTTTGTTGATGTGAAGAGATCGTGCATCTCTCAGCATCTCCTCGTTCGAAAAGTGTGCTTTGTGAGAGCCATTTCACGAACGTCGCATTGCTAAGGACCCTATGATTCGGTTTACGCCTCCACCTAGAAGCTAATTTTCAAATGTCTCTACTTACCAGCCCATCTTGTATTTCTTCGCTTTACAAGGCGTTTTATCCGCCTCCATCGGAGGTCCCGACACTGATTTGCCCGCGTTCTCCGCCTCCACATTTGTCCGTCCGAGATCAGTCTTCTGAGCCCATCGCGCAAATTGTGAGGGGCAGGCGAACAAGTAGACAAGCCCAAGTCAGACACTCAGTCCAACAGCAAATGTGTCAACACTCATTGGGGCGCAAAGTTGATTTCTTTTTCCTTTCTGAGGAGGACCCTTGTTACCCTAACCCTAACACCCAATTGCACCTTTTCGATCCCGAGTTGCTTGCAGGTTGTCGAACTGCATTGGCTGAGCCATAGAATTGCGACGGCTCCCTCAACACCACAACATACCTTAGATGCTGGGCGAAGTTGACGTTTTGCAGATGTGCTCATGATTCATAGGGTCGCCCTTTGCACTGCAGACGGGATCTTCGAAACCCAATTTGGCCGACGTTCTCGAAGCCCGCCTCAGCGGACGACATGCATTCATCTTACTCGCCGAGCATAGGCCTCCATACTCGTTCGCTAAAGACTCCGCCAGTTTCTTGCGCAAGACACGTCTCAGCTTTGTAGCTTCGCGATTTGCAAATCACTGTCCTCCTTGCGATCACTACATCCCAATGAGCGACCTGAGCACTACAGCCGCCCACTCACAAAAGCGGCGTCGCATCACACGCGCGTGCGACCGATGCAGCGCTCGTAGCGTCAAGTGCAGGCTTCAAACTACAAGAACATCCCGATGCGACAACTGTCAGGATTATGACGAGGAGTGTACTTTTGATCGCCCCATGCGCAAGCGAGGTGCAAGATCCAGAGACGCTCGAACATCACCCGCGGTTGCAAGTGATGCTGGTCGATCTGCCGGTTCCCCCGCTTCTGCAACAAGGCAGCACGACGCGCTCCACCGCCGATCAGACAACGCCACCGACGAAAGCATCAAGAGCAAGTCATGGAACCCCGACACGTTACCTAGCCAGGCAATCGTCATGGACCTGACGGAGATCTACTTTGAAGTCGTCTATCCTGTCTTCCCCTTTTTCCACCAACCGACCCTGCTACGCAACGTTGCGCGAGGAGAATATGCCACCAGTCAACCCCTCTTTGCCTCGGTCATGGCGCTCTGCGCACTCTCTTCCGCTCGCGTCCGTGACGGCGCTCTTTACACCGAACGATGGGATACGCACTGGCTCCAAACGCCCTCTTGCGAGTATTTCCTCCAGGTTGCAGCTGATTCCATCCCCAGCGATGCGCCTTTGTCCCAGGAATTCGACTACATGAGGGCCTACGCCCTCTTATCCATCGTTTCCATCCAGCTCGGGGATCTGCGCAAGATGAACTACTATCTGTGCCTCTATCACGGATGTATAGCCGTGGCCTCCCTCCATGATGAGCAGAACTGGCCAAAGGGCATTGGGTTCGTCGAGGTGGAGATGCGCAGACGCCTGTTCTGGTCAATGTACACCTTGGATGTCTTCTCGGCCATCATCTGGGGCGGCGTTGTCACGAGCCGGGAGGCATGCTATAGCGTAACCTACCCGATCGAGTGCAATGACGAGGCGTTCAGCGATACTGTTGCCCCCGAGCAGGCACCGTCCGAGGCATCTTGTTGGCTCAGAGGCTGGAATTTTGTCACGGACCTCTATCGAAAGCTGGAGCACACGGTAGACTCCCTCGGCAGTCTCCGCAACTTGGCGCTTACACCTTCTGCGACCAATGCAATCGAGCCATCCGCTTGCGTCACGGGCTCTGCCGTCCTCAGCAATGGGACGGATCTCTACAACCAATTGCCGCCCATCTTCAAGGATATTCAACCCATCACGGGCAGGCTCAACACCGACCTATTTGGTTTTCAAGCCGCCAACATTCGCGCCACGTTGCAACTTGTGCGCATGTCCGTCCTTGCGACCGAGCACTCCACCGTGATCCAGAAGTGTGAGATTGCTGGCGAAGTGATCGAAAGCTTCGCACGTACTCCAGTGGCGTATCTGCGCGCGATCAGCACTCCTCTTCTGCATCATCTCGCTGGGATCGGCACCATCATGGGCTCTACATTCGAGGAAGGCCTGACGGAATCGTCGTATGACCGCGTTCGGTCGGTGCTCATCGATTTGGCGCATCTGCTGGCCGACCTGGAGGTGCATCTCTTTGCTAAGGCGGGCACGAGCGACAAGTTGCGATGCCAGGTAGCAAGGATTGACGCGTTCATGCACGTGCAGCGCTCGATGCACACGACCGGTCCACAGGCCGAACATTCACTCGACTTTTCACGCGCTGCCAGGAGCATGGACTTCATGAACGGTGACAAGATGCTCCCGATCCACTTCCCTGCGGACCTATTTGATGATTGGGATTGGATCTTTGACGTGACCTAGGCGTGTTTATTTGGGACTAAATGTTACATGCTCGCACGTTCAAACAACTCGTCACAGTGCCGCTCTTCGGCGTTGTCAAGCCATCGACTTTTCCTGCGAAGAGGCGGCGTCGTCCTCGGCGCGCGCGGTCCATCTTGCGTGATTGACCTGATCGACAAAGAGGGTCTGCTTGTTGTCGGCGTACGCCTTCTCCATGTTCCAGTAGAAGGGCGACGGTGTGCTGAACATGGCCTCGATGGATTCAAGCGAGCGATTGGAAGTCTCTGGATAGAGGAAATAGACGATCCAGATCCAGACAAAGTTGAGACCGGCAAAGAGGAAGTAGGTGCGGCTCTCGATGCTGCCGAACATGATAGGGTTGACGAGAACCGTCATTCCCACGCCAATGGCCCAGCCAGTGATGCCAAAGCCGTTTCCTTGCGCCCTCATCTTGCTCGGGAAGATCTCGGTGGGGATCAGGAAGGCAACGGTGCCCCATGTGGCGGCGTAAATCAGGTTGAAGAGGAAGAGCATCGTCACCGCCGCGGGTGCAATCTGGTCGGCGAGCGATGTGTTGTGGCGCGAGGCCTCGTACAGCGAAGCGGCAATAAGGTTGACGATGGCGAGACCTGCGGCTCCGGCCATGAGGCAAGCGCGTCGCCCGTACTTGTCGACGATCTGTGCCGAGATGATGGTGCCGATGATGCCGATCGTGTTGAGTCCTCCGGCAAGGCCGTTCTGCTTGATGGCGCTGTATCCGGCTTGACGAAGCAGCACGGGCGAGTAGGCCGTGACGGCAGTGATTCCGGACCAGGAAGCCATGATTTGGAGCCAGATGCAGAGCCAAGCCCTCCGACCGAGGTTGGCACCGTGACTCTTGTCCATGCCGAGGATGATCTTGACAAATTCGATAGGCGAGCTGGGTTTGGTGTGTTGAGCCATGGCCGCAATCTCATCGAATTCTTGCTCCACATGGGCATCGTTGCTGCCGCGGATATGTTGGAGAACCTCGCGGGCCTCTTGCGTCTTTCCAACCGAAGCAAGGTAGCGGGGCGAGTCCGGTAGCATCTTGATACCGACCAGAAGTAAAAGCGCAGGTAAGCACTGAAAGGCGAGCAGGAATCGCCAGCGTACGGCAGAGTAACCTCCGTCGACAAAGCTGAGGCCAAAGTCGAGCCAGTAGGCGACAGAGATGCCAAGGTAGTTTGCGATAAAGACGTAGCCGAGGAAAGCACCGCGGTGTTGAGCTGTGGAGACTTCCGAGATGAAGACCGGGGTGATGCCGGTAAGAGCTGTGGAGGCAACGCAAACGAACCGAGCCGTCAGAAAACGTGTGAGCGCGGTTGGATTGAGTGAGATGCTTCGTGTGTTTGGCTTCTTGTGTTGCACTTACCTCCCGTACCAAGTCCGGTGACTACACGGGCAATGATGATAAAGTCGGCGCTCTGTGTAGCAGCTTGGAGAGCGCCACCGATGCAGGCAAAGATGGCGGAGAAGAAAAGTCCGTTGATGCGGCCGATGCGATCGGCTGCCCAACCGCCAAGGAAGCAACCGACAATGCATCCGAGGTAGTAGACACTGACGATGCCGCCCTGTTTGGTGGTGTTTGTGACCGTACCATCCGCGATACCAATGTCGACTTCTGTGACATAGTTTGGAGAAGCATTGACGCCGCCCATGACACCCTGGTCTGTTTGCAGTGGGAAGGTCACGCCAAAGAGATATGTCAGGACATTAGGGTGGCATCAAGTTGGCAACCGCATGGTCAATTTCGACGACTTACCATAGCCCTCGAAAAAGATGGCAATCAGGGAGAAGGCCTGGATGGCAATGTTTAGCTGGGTGTGCGAAAGCCTCTTCCACGCGGTTGTGTATGCCATGGTTTCGGCGTGTTCAGGGTGTTCCGATTGAAATGGGGTAGGTCGCGGGAGGCAGAGCGAGTGTGGGATGGGCAAAGCAGTGGATTTGGTGTTGCGTGTCCCCTTTTATGCCGTTTGACGAACCACACGGGGTATGATGGAGCTGCAAGGCATCGTCCGCAGCGACACTATGAAGCAGGAACGATCATGTGAACGCTTGAGTGCAGCTCTGCTCGGTTGATCCTGGTATGAAACTCGGGTGCCCCGCCTCGTGCCGCGCGGTGCTATTCGGATCTCGCTCTCGGCTCGGGGCTGGGTCCAGCCGGAAGTCACTATGGAATGGATGCGTCCAGTTCCATTAGTGTTCTACAGTCACAGCATTTTGCAACCTGACGGTGTTGGGATGTCATGCCTAAAACGCCGAACAACTTCCAAAGTCGCGCGCGCCAACCCGGGGCCCCAGAACTAGCTTGCTGTACCTGACTGCGATGTGCCCCACTGTGTCGCCGCTTATTCGCTCAATAAATCAGCATTTAAGCGAATAAGCGAGTAGGCGATCAGGCGAATAGGCGAAAGCGCAACTGCCTAGTAACGCCGAACCGTTTTTACGAGAGCTGGACCCTTCTGGCGAGCACTCTTCTTGTACGACTTTACCGTATGACACGGTTCCGATTTCGCGTTCGGATCGACGCAGTCCTTAAATACCAGAACAGGTTCGGATCGCCACACCACCGCCTTGCGATCTCAACACTGGCACATCTCCGATATGACGATCACCAACGGGCAGCCAAACAACGGCGTCCATGGGCATACCGCTTCCCAGGGCCTCGATATGACGGTCCTCGGGCTCAACAGCGGTACAAGCATGGATGGCATCGACTGTGCTCTCTGCCGCTTTCGTCAGCAAAGCCCGCATACGCCCATGCAGTTTGAGCTGCTCCAGTACGCCGAGATCCCGCTAGAGCCAAAGATCAAGAAGCGTGTCATGGACATGATCTACCACAACCGCACCACTCCCGAAGAGCTCTCCGAAGTCAACGTGCTGCTCGGAGAGACATTTGCCTCGGCAGTGCAATCGTTCTGCAACGACAACAGCGTTGCGATCGAGAGCATCGACGTGATTGGCTCGCATGGTCAAACTATCTGGCTGCTCAGCATGCCCAAACAAGGCCAGACCAAGTCGGCTCTCACCATGGCAGAGGGCACTTTTATCGCCTCTCGCACTGGAATCACCACCGTGACCGACTTTCGTGTCTCGGATCAAGCTGCAGGTCGGCAGGGCGCTCCGCTCATTGCCTTTTTCGACGCCCTGCTCCTCCACCATCCGACCAAGCTTCGCGCGTGCCAAAACATTGGGGGCATTGCCAACGTCTGCTTTATCCCGCCTGACAATGCCGGTGGCATCGACAAATGCTTTGACTTTGACACGGGACCGGGCAACGTGTTTATTGATGCAGTCGTGCGTCACTTTTCCGACGGCCGTCAAGAGTACGACAAGGATGGTGCCATGGGTAGCCGAGGAACCGTCCACCAGCCTCTTGTCGACGAGTTCTTGGAGTTCGAATACTTTAAGCTCCCACCGCCCAAGACGACCGGCAGGGAAGTGTTCCGCGATACCATGGCGCACGAGCTCATACAAAAAGGCGAGAAGCTCGGACTCTCGCAGGACGACATTGTTGCAACCGTTACCAGGATCACGGCGCAAGCAATTGTGGATCACTATCGCCGCTATGCGCCTCGGCAAGAGATTGACGAGATTTTCATGTGCGGTGGCGGTGCGTACAACCCCAACATCACTGCCTACATTCAGCAACACTATCCCAACACCAAGATCTACATGCTCGACACCGCTGGCGTCCCTGCTAGCGCAAAGGAAGCCATCACATTTGCGTGGCAAGCCATGGAAGCAGTGGTTGGAAGGTCCATCCCTGTCCCCGACCGCGTTGAGACCAGGCAGGAATATGTGCTCGGCAAGGTCAATCCAGGCAAGAATTATCGCAATGTGATGAAGAAGGGCATCATGTTTGGACACGGCGATAGGCTGCCTCCGGTCACCGAGATGGTCAACTACGTTGATGGCGAGGTGTTCAGCAACAAGTGGGACTAGAGCCTTGCAATACAATGCTGTACCATTAGGTTTCTGCACGGAGCAGGCTGTACATGCATGCTTCTGCGCGCCAGGAGTGCCTTTCAGCTTTTCTGAAAGAAAAAATCTATCGCCTGAGCCAGCTGTTACGAGACAGCCCGAAAGAGGCCGAGTGTGACAGAATGCAAGAGGCGTCACTACGTGTGTGGTCGGTCAATGAGCCATCTTCAAAGGAATCACGCGGACGGCAACGGGAGGCTGAGATGAAGCAAGCGAGAAGACGCGCAAGCGCACACAGGGGGGGCGAGGGGACCTCCGTCCTGAGGTTCCGCAAAGTTACTTGGTTGGCGCAAGTCCAACGACAGGGTCTCGCCTCGGGAAAAGAGACGTAAACGCATTGCAAACACTTGTGCACGGTCAGGCATCATAACAAGATTTACAGCAAGGTAGCAAAGTAGCAAGAGAGCAAGGAGCGTGTCGCGCCACCTCTGAACGGAGTGTTCACAGCGGTCAGCCGTGATCCGCTCAGTACTTCCAGCCGACATTACTCGGTCCTTCGGCGGACAGGAGATCGGGCGCGTGACCGCTGACACCGTCTTCCTGCGTTTCCCTCGCCTCTTATCCTGAGTCCTGGATCGTGCGTGCGTCTCTCACATTCTAATGTCATCGATCCTCGAGCCACAATCGTTTGCAAATTGCTCTGTGCAGCGGAAGCACGATCGCAGCTCCAGCATTGGAACCGACAACTCCTTTGCAAAGATGTTCACGGCAAGGCTTTCGATACCAAGCAGGCGGGAGGAATTGTGATCATATTAGGGTTAGGGGTTAGGGGTTAGGGTTAGGGTTAGGGGTTAGGGTTAGGGTTAGGGTTAGGGTTAGGGTTAGGGTT